CGGCCGGTATGTCGCGACCTGTGACTTGTGCTGTCGCACCAAGGCACTCCGGAGACTGCCCCACGGAGAGCTGCACCCCATGGAAACGCCCCGGACGCTGGCATACCGTCTCCGTCGACTTCATCGTAGAGCTTCCCGAAGCCCATGGGTACGACGCGATTATGGTCGTCGTTGACACCCTCGGAAAGCGCCCCCACTTCTCGGAGTGTCATACGACGGTCGATGCAGTAGGGGCAGCCCGCCTCTACTACCGGAATGTCTGGCGGCACCATGGGACTCCGGAGAAGTACGTCTCCGACCGCGGCTCGCAGTTCATCGCGGACTTCACCCGAGAACTTTGGCGTCTAATCGGCATCAAGCCCGCCACGTCCACCGCATACCACCCGCAGACAGACGGTCAGACAGAGCGCGTCAACCAGGAGCTGGAGCAGTACTTGCGGATCTTCACCAACTACCAGCAGGACGACTGGGATGAGCTGATTCCGGCCGCGGAGTTCGCCTACAACAACCATGTTCACTCCTCCACGCAGCAGGTCCCCTTCATGACGGACACGGGACGGCTCCCGCATGGGCTTCGAACCCGGAGTCCGTTCCGCCATGGAGTCAGTGAACGAGTTCCGTGACCGGATCGCCACCGGTGTTGCTGAAGCCAAGGCCGCGCTCACTAAGGCCAAAGAGGAGTACAAGCGCTACTACGACCGGAGACGGACTCCGTCTCCGGAGTTTAAGGTTGGCGACCGTGTTTGGCTAGACGCCTCTGACATCAGGACGACTCGCCCCTCGGAAAAGTTCTCCCATCGCCGCCTCGGACCGTTCAAGATAGTCGCGGAGATCAGCAAAGGTGCCTACAAGCTCGACCTCCCTCCGCGCTACTCGAAGCTCCACCTGGTCTTCCCCGTCGTCAAGCTCGAGCTCGCCCAGGATGACCCCTTCGACGGACGCCCCGGCTACGACCAGCCCCCTCCGGACCTCGAGGACGGAGTTCCGGAGTGGGAAGTAGAGGAAATCCTGGACGCAAGGGTGAGGTATAAACGGCTGAACTACTTCGTCAGATGGAAAGGCTACGACGCATCGCACGACCAATGGGTCCGCTTCGACCGCGTCTTCGCCCCGGAGAAAATTGCGGAGTTCTATCGTAAGTACCCTGGCAAGCCACGACACATCGCCTCTGCGACCTTCGACTCGATTCCGTTCCGGTCTATGCGTCGGGACGCCGCATTCAAAGGGGGGGTGATGTCAGGGGAACCTCCCTTTCGGCCCCTCGGAGACGCCTCCGATTCCGGTCCGACTCCGGTTCCATCTCCGGTCCGGCCCTCCATCTCGCCCACACAATCACCGATCCGTCAACGCCCTCCCGACGGTCGCCCTGGGACCTCGCCTGCGACGCCGCCCAAGCCTTCTGTGCCCGGCAGCGGCAGCTACGGACAAGCAGTATATAGTCAGCTCCCTAGCAGGCGGACCCTCAGAGTTTCTTCTCTTTGGATCCTCCCCTGCTAGGTCAGCTTCATTTGTATTCGCTTACCAATGTTCACACTTTGGATCCTCCCCTGCTAGGACCTTGATCTCAGGCCTCCGGGGTTGCCCTTACACATACTTGAATATCAGGTTAAGTAGTGTTTTGCTGATATCCTGGAACTGCATTCCAGGCTTTGAGCCTGGGGCAAATATTTTCCAAAAAGGGAATTTATTTTCAGAATATATTTGTTACAATTTTATAATATTACACATCATTGCCTGGTTGGAACATTAACCAATCTGTAACACTGACAAGCCAGATCAAAAATACATAGAAAGTGAAGCAAGGTCTCAGTCTCCGGCGCAGGCACCAGAGGCCCTTGTCAGTAATTCCAGCTGTACTTATATGGAAAGGAAAGAGCATGATGTCAGCCCAATTATTATCTGTACCTGCACAGAGGGCTGTCTGAAAAATTCCTTTTTAAAAAAGTAAGTTCTTGAACTTCTATTTAACTAAGGGCTTAAGGCTTAATTGATTTTGAACTTTGAAGCCTCAAATTAAGGGCTTATGGAGTGCCTTCCGGCCAACGTTGAACGGAGCTAATGAGGCGGGCGTGGAGCTCGGGCGGGAGGGTAGGGAAGGCATGTGGGAAGTCGCTGAAGACATATCTGCCTCGCAGCTCATGCGAGGGTCTTGTGAGTTTGGCATCAGATAATAATCAAATCCGGGGATCGCCGCCGCTGTCGCTTGGCAGCTTACCTCATGATGTCGTACGTATTTTCACCTTCTCCCGAACGTCCATGTCGCCTCCTTCGTTCCAAGGGGCCTGCATCTCAGACGAAAGTCGACAGTGCAGGCTGTGCACTGCCGATATCAATATGTGTGTCAACTGTAAGGGAACGAGGCTGTCCCTTTGTATTCCTCCCCTCTCGCTACACACATATTAATAGACACCGCCCAGCCCCTCTCCGTCCATTTCTGAGGCAATACCGACAACAAGGAGACATATATAACGCGCGCTGGGCTTGGCACGGGGTTCTATATAACGTCCTCAGGCTGCAAGGCACGCAATTCCATCCTTTCCGCCCCCGGCTTTCCTCTTCAACTTCCCTCCGCCTTGGGCTCTTTTTTTGCGCAACCTTCACAACACAAACATGCTTATATTCTCAACACTTCTTGCCACTGTGCCGCTGCTCGTAATGGCGGACTCCCCGCGTCCACCGCGGCCTGGGGCGTTCCGTCGCCCGCTGGACGCGATGCCGGGCTCTGAGTCGGCGAAGATGATGATCGATGGGGAGATGATCGACAATGTCAACAATCGCCGCGTTCGTCGCCCCTTTGATTGATCAACTCCTGTTAAACTGACCATGCTTGTGCAGTATACCGCGCGGCTGCTGCTTGGGTCGAGCAGCCAGCAACTGGTCAACGTGATCCTCGACACGGGGAGTACAGACCTGTGGCTTGACCCCCCGGAGGGCATCCTCCCGACCAACTTCGACAGCTCAGGCATCACGCACAAGATTGCATATGCCGACGGGAGCGCGTACATCAGTGGGCCCATTGGCTGGGGGCGGGTGTCCATTGCGGGGAAGGTCATTGAGAAACAGGGTGCGTTGTCTTACATTCCTTCAATACCTGATTAACCCCCGATAGCATTCATTGATGTGACACAAAACCAGGGCCTGAACGAGTGCGGGAACGGAATTTGCGGGCTCGTAGGGCTCGGGTTCGACGCCCCGGAGTACGGCATCGCGGGTGCATTGACGGCAGGCGGGTACGACGGCGTCGCTCTCGGCAAATCAGTCCTCACATCAATATTCGATGCCGCGCCGGATCCGGCCGCAAACCGCTTCTTCGCATTCTCGCTCTCGCGACAGGGCAATCCGACGCGCTCGGCGGAGGCCTCGCTCGCCATCGGGCGCTACGAAACCCGCTATCGCGAGGTGCAGTGGATGGCGAAGCGGCCGGTCCATCCGCCCAACGCGCGCACGTGGCGCATTTTGTCTGATGGCATCACCGTCGGCGTGTCGCAATCTGGCGGCTCGATTGACTGGCGCGCGGGCAGCACGAGCACACCCGCGGGTAATAGGGTCGTTCTGCTCGATACGGGCACAACGAACATTATGATGCGGCCTGAGGCTCGTGATGAGATCTATTCACGGGTCCCTGGCGCGGCCCTCGTGAAGAATGCGGGGTGGGTTAGGAACACGCATTGGAGTACCGACCGCGACGTTTGGGTCGTGCCCTGCAACACTCCAGTGAGCGTCAGCTTTTCGTTCAAGTGCGTGTCCTCTATCCATTTCATTTCATTTTTTGTTCTGATCACGGTTACAGTGGCCAGCCTTACCCCCTCCACCCTCTCGACCTGACGGACCTGTACACCATGGCGGGGCCTGACGGGAAGCAGTACTCCATCTGCGTTGGCACTGTCACGAACGGGGGCACGATTATGAGCAGCAACACCGACGCGGTCCTCGGCGACACCTTCCTCCGCAACATCTACACCGTGTTCTCGTTTGGGGACAAGGAAGGCGTGAACACCAAGCCGTATGTGCAGTTTCTCACCCAGACCAACGAGTGGGACGCGACACAAGACTTTTTGGCCGTGCGAAAGGCGAAGCTCGCCGAGGCCGCCGCGCCGGAGCTCTTGCCGGCCGAACTGATTCGCCTGTTTGAGAAGCGGGAGCCGGACGTGCTGGTCAAAAGCGCGTTGGCGGGAACGAAGGTGGCGGCAAGCGAGGCGGCGAAGGAGAAGGCTGGCGCTGACTCCAAGGAGAAAGCTGCCGGTTCCGCATCAGAGTCGAAAGCCGGCGCCAACCCCAATGCGGGCAAGAAACAAGGGGCTTCCTCCGACAATCAGAAGGGCGCCAACGCGTCAGACAAGAAAGAAGGCGCCGGTGCGAGCAAGAAGCAAGGTGCCAACTCCAGCGGCGACAAAAAGCAAGGCGCGGCAGACGACTCGAAATCCAAGTCCAAAACCGATGACTCCAACAAGACGTCAGACACTTGTTCGTGTGCGCCAACTGGCCCCAAGCCCAAAGTCGCCGCCGCTCTCTCAGACGACAATGACGGGAATGCGGGCTGGGTGAAGTACGCCCCGGTTATCATCGCGCTGCTTGCGACGAACGTTGCGCTGCTGCTCGTTCTCATCGCGCTCTCCGTTTTCAAGCTTGTCCGCGGTGGGCTGCGGCTGCGGGGTACGCCGACGACGGCCGGGAAGCCGCGTTATGTGCACGTGTCTGTGGAGGAGAGCAAGTATGCGGATGGCGACGATTGATTGCCAGGTCTTCTTTTTGGACTTTGTAGATACCACATGGACATTATTTACACTTGTTATTCCGATTATCACCTTGCTTTACGAAGCCGGAAGTCCTGAGATTAACTAGTCATACACGATGGCTTATTCCCATTGGAAGTGATGTCGCAAGCGTAGTAGTATTTAATTAAGGAAATACTTGACTCAATAGAATGCTCTACACTACCACTACCTGTAAAATGACAGGAGTATAGTAAGTAATCGACTAAACCAACTGTACAATACGACCTACTGCTCATCTGCTTCAACCACACTCCTACCCTCCTCACCCACCTTCGGAATCCTCACAAATAGCTCTGCATGCCCATAAACGCACTGCTGGCCAAAGTTGTTCCCCAGATACCCGCCGTACGAGCTCTCGGTCTGGTTGCGGCCCGCGCGCGGAGTGACCCAATACACAGGCTCCCAGTCACCCTCTCCGTCATCCTCCGACTCTTCTCCGTCCCACAGTCTCCGGCGCTTCACTGGCGGCTCGGGGTCCGGCTTCAGCTTGCCCTCCGCGTCGACCTCCCGCAGAACCGTGCCTTGCCGTTGAATCTCGTCGTCCTTCTTGAGGTCCTCCTCGTCTGCCACGTCCTCGACGCCCACAGGCTCGTCCATCACTACAACCGCCTCTTTCCCGTCGAAGCCGAATTCATTAATATCATAGATAAGCCGCACACGCGGTTGCAGACCGGCCCGGAGCGCCGCGTTGTGCAGGCGCGCGTCGCAGCCCTTCAGCAGCGCTTCGTCGAGCACAGGCAGCTTCACGCGGGGGATTGGCTCGTCGTCGTCGTCGTAATCAAATTCATCATAGGTGCCATCGTAGGTATTCCGTGGGCGCGGCATCGGGTACTGATGTGTCAGTCCGAACGCGAGGTGGCCACCGTTGGGGAGCCACTTTGGGTCAGCAAGCAGCGCGCGGAGCGATGTTTCGCAGTTGAGTTCGGGCGCCGGGATGATGCGGGTGGTGGCAGTGCCGGGCGTACGAGCAGTCAAGAACAGGTTATACGTCAATGTGACACGGTAGCCAGAGACAACGGGTTCGACGGTGTGAGTGACGTCGCTGAAGAAAGCAATATATGCGACAACAGGCGAGCCAGCATCTGCTTCAAGTTGACTCGCAGAATCAAAGACCCATGTCGAGCCCTCCTGCGAGAGTGTTAACGCCCCACCTTCGTGCTTGGTAGGGAGGACGATGACGAGGGAGCCTATCATGTCGTCTCCCCGCGGCGTGTCCTTGACGGTGGGCCTTGAAAAACGAGCCTGGGCCTTCAAGCAAATAAATAGGCATGAGAAGAAAAAAAATGTTGGAACACACCATAAACATTGAGCTTATACAGCTCCGCCCTCAGCACCCTCCCGTCCTCCTTCTCCTCTTCGTCCTTTTCATCATCATCCTCGCCCTCTTTCTTCGCCCGTCGGCCATAGTTATACCCGGCCAGCAAGTCCGGCGCCACTGCCTCAACAATGCCCATCGCACTCACCTCCAAGCGCGCCGCAAAGTTCTCCACATCCAGCTTCCCCGCCTTGCGGACACCTTCGTCCAGCACGTCCCCTTTCGCCGCCTCCGATCCAAACGTTGCCTTCTCGCACGCCCCCGCCAGCTGCGCGAGCTCCCCGTCTGGCAGGGCTGCGCTAAAGTCCATGTAGCTGGACATCCCCACCGCTTCAGCCTGACGCAAACACATTTTCGAGGGGACAACTCACTGTGTTGTACCTCCGGCAACGTTGCGGTAAAACAGCACCAGGTCCTCCTTTTTGACCCTCTGCACGCCACTCGTATACGGAATCGACGTCTTCAGTGACGTCTTCAGCAAGTCGAGGTGGTCGGCGGCGGTCCATGTTCCCGGCATCGTGGACGTTAGGAGAAGAAGGTGTCACAACATGACATGACACGCTGATTTGATGTGTAATTTCTGACTTGTCATGGGAGGAGTCAACAATTCATAGCTTTCATGATGAATCCAACACCACTCTCCATCGTACAACAGCAACAGGTATAAAATTACTCAAAGAGTGATAGGGATGCAGTTGATTATGAGACCGCCCCACTGCTTGGCCCCGGGCGTCGCACACAACAGTGGAGGCGCGATGAAGGTTCCTCATTCAGGAGGAAAATAGAAAGCTCTACATACGCTCTACCTGTGAAATCACAGAAGTACACTAAGTTACCGACTAATCTCGCTATATCATTACGATAGCCACCTACTCCTCATCTGCTTCAACCACACTCCTGCCCTCCTCGCCCACCTTCGGGATCCTCACAAACAGCTCCGCATGCCCATACACAAAGCTTTCCCCATAATCATTCCCCAGATGGGTAGTATACTCGCTCCCCGCCTTGTTCTTCTCCTCCGGCGGGGTTACCCAGCACACCAGCTCACCGGCGAAGTCGGCATTCCCCTGGGTCCCGTCATCCTCCTGGTGATTTAACTTCTGCCGTTTCGCCGCGGGCTCCTCCGAGTCGTCGCCGTTTCCTTCCCCTTTGACCTTTCCCTCTCTCAGCAGCCGCCCCCGCTCATTGACCTCCTGCAATACCGTGCCCTGCTGTTCGATGTCCTCATCCAGGGACGGGCCATCGTAAAAATCCTCGTATTCAAAATGCATTCCCCCCGGCGTCACCTTCACTGGCTTGTCCATTATAACAAGCGCCGGGGGTCGGCTATAAGTATAACCTTCCTCATCCCGGATCCGATACATCAGCCGGACCTGTGGCTGGAGCCCGGCCCGCACCGCCGCGTTTCGGAGCCGGGCGTCGCACCCTTTGAGCAACGCGGTGTCGATAAACGACTTGCGATCCGCGCGGGGATCGCGCGGAAGTGGGTACTGATGCGTCAGCCCAAATGCCAGATGCCCCCCGTTCGGAAACCACTCCGAGTCTGCCAGCAGCGCGCGGAGCGACGTTTCGCACGCGAGTTCTTGCGGCGGAACGATGCGTGAGTGAGGCAGAGTGACTGTCTTTGTCGACCGTGATGTGGTGACGAAGAGGTTGTAGGTGAGCGTTACGCGGTAGCCTGAGGTGACGGGCTCGACGGAGTGTGTTACGTCGCCAAAGAACGCGATATACGCGACAACAGGTGAGCCTGAGCCTGAGTGGGCTTGCAGCTGGCTGGCGGAGTCAAAGACCCATGTCGACTCGTTTTGTGAGAGGGTCAGCGCGCCGCCTTCATGCTGCGTCGGCAAAACGACAACAAGCGAGCCAAGCATGTTGTCTCCTCGAGGCGTGTCCTTGTGGGCCTTGAAGAATGACCCGGGGCCTATGGTTCCAGTCAGCGTCAGCAGAATTCACTTGCAAGGACGCACCATAAACGTTCAGCTTATACATCTCCGCCCTCAAGACCTTTTCCTCCATGTCATCATGAGTCGGAGGCAGCAACTCCGCCGCAACTGCATCCAGAATACCCGCCTCCGCCGCGTCCAGCCGCACCAAGAAATCCTCGACATCAATCTTCCCCGCCTTGCGGTAGTCCTCGTCCAGCACATCCCCCTGCGCCTCCTCCGACCCAAATTTCGCCTTCTGACACGCGCCAGCCAGTAGCGCGAGCGATTCTTCCGAGTTTCCCTCGCCAAAGTCGATATATCTTCCGTTTCGCACAAGGTTAGGGCAGTTAAGAACAGAGAATTGACTCACCGTGCCGTTCCCTTGAGATTTTCCCCCTCAGGGCTGCAATAGAACAGCCTCAGGTCCTCCTTCCGCACGGCCTGCACGCCACTCGTGTATGGGACAGCGGTCTTGAGCGACCGCCGGAGCAGCTCGACGTGGTCAGCGACGGTCCACGTTCCCGGCATCGTGGACGTTAGGAGAAGAGGAAGGAGTCACGGCATCATGAGTCATGACACGCTGATCTGATTGGTAATTTATGCGGTATAACTTCGTGTGGGAACAGTCTGAACAGAAAGAAACATAGCACAAAGTTTGAAAGGAATCCAATCTGTGTTACAATGGGCACAGTTACACAGGTACTTAAAGAGTGATAGGAATGCAGTTGATTGCAATGAGACCGCCCCACTGAACCTCCGGCGCGTCGCAAGTGACCGTGGTGCCACCACTGAACGGCGCATCAGCATTGTGGGCGACGACAATCGAAGGAGGAAGAAATTACCAGTTGTTGCCAACGACGGTGATGGGCGAGCAGCCCAAACCGATGGGGACGTTGATACCGGTGAGGTCGAGGCCAACGAGGGCGGCAACGGCGGAGACAGCACTGCTGGTTGAGCTCTGCACACTGTTGCAGCACTGGGGCGAGGTAGGGGGAGTGACTGGGGGCGGTGGGTTCCCGGTCGGGGTGGCGGCAGCAAGGGTCTGCAGAAGAGGCAAGTCAGCGCAGTGAGAGGCAACCAATAAAGGGACCTACAGCGAGAGCGAAGAGAGCAGCAAATTTGGAGAACATGTTTGTTCGAGTGTTTACTTCAACTGGTGGGTGGTTGGAGTGAGGGATGGGGAATAACAGGGCCGCCTTTTATCCTATTCTGCGTCAAGGAAGAGATGCCATCAAGAACCGGATATCCAGGGTTGTGCTTGAATTTCTGCAAAAAAAAACGCGGAGATGACGTCGGTGGCTGGATCGCAGAGCAGTCAACATTCTCGCTGCCAGCGGGCTTTGAAAATCTGCCTCGGAATCGGTGGAAGGCAACCGATGACAACTTGAAGGCAATGAACAGCAACTGTCGAATGAATGTGATCTATTGGGTTCCGCCTACGGGGAGAGTCCTCCGACACCTATGAGACTTGGGCAAGAGAGTCAGAGTCGATGGAAAAGCTTCGTGGTGGATTGAAAGTTGTTCAAGGAAAAGCGAGGCTCAGGAAATCATGAATACGCAGTTCTTCCTGTTATGTTATGAGCACATACCGGTTTACACCTCCTATGGCACCAGACACTATGCCTGTGCTTCTGATCCATTGCATTTACAACGTCCACCGTTGTCGGAACCGCGCAAGTCCAACGCCTTCTCGCACTCCACAAGGTACAGGGAACGAATACCCGTCAAAGGCAAACACTCGAAGTCGAACGCTGTATGGGATGACGTCGTTGTACTTGGAACAGCCGCCCGCCGGGGCGTAGAGGACAGCAGGAAGGCAGGACGAGCGCCGACATGAGAGAAGGAGGAAAGAAGGTTGACCACACGTCATCGTTGATTGGGATCAATCATCTATCACTCAAATCAGCCTGGGTCCGAATTCGGGTGGCAGACCGAATATTCCTGCAATCCTTATTGCAATTGGCCGCACAAAAAATCAGCATAACTTCTTTCCCCTGCGCACAACTTGACCGTCCACGACTTACTTGCTGGGTAAATTAATATTGATGTGGTATCATGATGATCCACGCGACGTGACGGATCCCACGTCATGCATGATCCTTAGTGTTGCCGCGGTGCGAGTTGAGCCGATGCGGTGCGTCCCACTCGTTTCACCTCGATCCGACGAGTTGGCACGAGTTACGCACCGGCTCACATCGGTGTCAATCGAGTTGACAGCTGTTTGCACGTGCGCAAACAGAGAGTATTCGATTGGAGTAGTACGATGGTACAAAGGGCCAAAATTTGACTGAAATTTGCCTTGACTTTGCCTTCAGACATTAATTGTGCAAAAATCTTGGGCAGCATTCAATAAGAGCTGGTATGTAGAAGACTTTGATCGCTGTGATATGATCACCACCATCATGGACAAATGCCGAATGTTCGGCATTTGACATGTTGTCACAGTGTTGTGTGGTCCTTGCAGACATCAGCGTAACATCAGACGTGCTGGCGTAGACCGCCTTAGACCGGTCACACCGCGGTGCACCACTCGGCTTGACTCGTGAGTCCGAGTTGACCAACTCGTTTGTCGATCCGAGTGGTTTGGCGGTCCAACATCGCACCGACGGCAACACTAATGATCCTTCTTGTCCTTCCCTCTCATGACGGCGTCTGTGGCTGAGGTCCCCACTCCCCAGGTTCGCTTCCCCCCCGCAACGTCGCCTCAATCGGACACCCGTTGATGGCCTCCTTCTTCCCACAAGAACTTCGCCTTTGACTTGCTTGAAGTTTGAACGTCGCGTATTCTGGTGTGTGGAGTGGGAAACCGTGTTGGCCTTCCCTGGCATCTCGTGCGGTTTTCAGAGCTATGACCGTTGCAGCATTGTGATTCGGGCGGTCTTAAACGAATTCAGAACTGTCATTATTCCCCATCGAAGGCGCGAAGGTCACCGATTGTATACAAACTCGAAGTCGGAGTTGAACCAGGATTGCAGCCGATAGGTTTGGAGCAACAGTCAAAGTGCGTATGAGCGTCGACTCTGTGCTGTTTCCCCTACTAACTTCAGCTCGGGCCTGCTACAGCTCCTCGACCATAACTCACAATACTCTTGGACAAAATATCTTGCACGCTGCGGCAGGCCGCGGAAGTTTGCGGCCGAGCTGCTCGACTTATCAGGGTAACGAAGTGCTCACCGTTCTTTTACCGCAAATGGACAGATCGTTGTCCAAAATTGTCCTTGGCGCACATTCGATCGGAATACTAGAACTGAACTGTGCTCCTAACTTACACCTCCGCGGCGTCTCCGAGTCGACAGTGTGGAGATCGCTGACTGCTATTTCTTGACGTCAAAAATGTTTACTGCATCGCTCAGCGGTCGCCGCTCACCAGAAACGGTCACAACAGCCCCTCGATCTCGAGTCTCTCCACTAGCAGGGCCTCGGGCTGCGTAAGCGCCCGCGGTACTCAAAAGATAACTTTTTCTAGAACATGTTCACGTTCAACCTCACTTCCGTATCTATCTTGACCTGTCCAGTTTGAACTGCGTCCTGTTTCCGATGTCACTTTCTGACGATCCTGCCCATGTTGGAGCTCCACCCGGACGTTTTGTGTGCCCCCTTGTGCAAGCAATGCAATATGTTCCATATGGGTTTGCCCCATTCCGTTCCTAAACAGAGGGCATTCGTCGTTCAGAAGGACAGGCTCCACACCAATTTTACGCTAGCCTTCGGTCTTTCTTGTCCTCATCTGCTCCGTCATAAACCCCTGCTGAGCAAAGCAAGAAAGAATAAAAGCCATCTGGACTCGTCCCAAATCTTCACTCCAACCACCCACCAGTTGAAGTAACCACTCGAACAACATGTTCTCCAAACTCGCTGCCCTCTTCGCTCTCGCTGTAGGCCTTTTATTGGTTGTCATTTCACCGTGCTGACTTCAATGTCTCTTCTCCAGACCCTTGCTGCCGCCACTGGGACTCCCCCACCCCCGGTCACTCCCCCCACCTCTCCTCAGTGCTGCAACAGCGTGCAGAGCTCTACTAGCAGCGCTGTCTCTGCTGTCGCCGCCCTTGTGGGCCTCGACCTGACCGGCATCAACGTTCCCATTGGCCTCGGCTGCTCGCCCATCACCGTCATCGGAAACAACTGGTATGTGTCATACTCCGGTCGTCTGGTATGATTCTGATGCGCCATCAGCGGTGGTACCAAGGTCACCTGCGACGCCCCGGAGGCTCAGTGGGGCGGCCTCATTGCCATCAACTGCATCCCCATCACCCTCTAAGGAGAGAGTAGCAAAGCGCCATGTAACCGCTATATACTAGTAGTGCCACTTCTTGCATGAAAACCTATGTATCTCCTTCGTCGTCGAGCTCAGTGAGATTTGACTTGTTGAAGTTTATTGTCAAGTTATGTTATTGGGTGCTTTTGTGAACGGACACGTCAAAATTAGACAATCCTGGCGTTTTATCACGTTCGGGCTGAAGCTAAGGCGGCCGCCGTTCGGCATGACCTGAATCTCGCTGCGATTGGCCGCGCTGAACGTCTGGCACGTTGATCAAGTGGCGCGGCACGTCGCGGCATGTCACGTATTGACGTGCCGAGCGACTCATATGAGATGCTTAAAAGGTGCGAGAGGAAGCAAAGAATTACGCTCATACAACTCCTCCCGGTACCCCTCAGTCAAGGTCATCTTTGGCTCAGCACGAACCGCAATGTCGAGTGAGTCCGCTTTATTTCTCTTACGGCGTGGGCGGGCCGGTTCGCCTGGACCGTCGGCAACATCTGGGGCTCTTGGGCGGGCAGATTGGTCGATGAGATATGGCTCTCAGTAAGTCATTCTACCGTCTCTCCTGCTGCCCCGACGTCGATCTTCTCCATTCACCACCGCTACTCCCGACTCACGACTTGCAATTGGATTGCGATTAAAACACCCTCCGGCATCTTATGTGCATCCCTCATAGCCTTGAACGAGTGCTCAGCACTGCCGTGTAGCATCCATCCAGCACCCACAATCACAGGAGTTAGCAGAACAACTGACAACTCCACCAAGACCACTGCAGATGATTCGACCCTCCTCCGTGCTACGATTTACCGGAGACCGACAATAAGGTAGGCAGGGTGAGCACCGTTATACCCTTGACGCGAGTTGCACTCGAGCGTGCTGCGCCGTGTGGGACGATCGTGGCCAAACATCAAACATAGCGGTCAGATTTACTCATGATGGGTGCCGCCGTGCCGGCCCCCACACCAAGCGCTCTGGTCGCTCTCCTGCCAGTGTGCGCACGCATACACATCTTTCCTTCATCAACCACATATTGTTTACGCCACGTACATATACTTCGAAGTTCCACAAAAGAGTCCAGTCCCAGACCAAGTTCGATACTGCTGGCAAGATCACGGTAGTTCAAGTCATAAGGAATTGTCCGACCCAATCAAGTGAGCAGCAAGGAGACGGAAGGAAGTCAATGTGAAGCAAGATTGATTCAACATGAAAAGACCTAGTATTAACCCATAGCACATCTCACAAAGTGATAGGGATGCAGTTAATCGCAATCAAGCCACCCCATTCCTTCTGCGGAGCATCGCATACAACGGTTGTGTTGCCGCTACAAGTCAAGATGAGTGTGATGATACCCAACACTGCATCTCAGCGCACGTACCAGTTGTTTCCGACCACAGTGATGGGCGAGCAGCCCAAGCCGATGGGGACATTGAGGCCGCTGAGGTCGAGCCCAAGAAGGGCAGCGACGGCGCTAACGGCGCTGCTGGTGGAGCTCTGAACGCTCGTGCAGCACTGGGGCGAGGTTGGGGGAGTGACTGGGGGAGTGTCCCAGGGAGCGGCGGCGGCAAGGGTCTGTCGACGATGAGTAAATTATCAGTGGGTGCGTGGAAGAAGCCTTACAGCAAGAGCGAAGAGAGCAGCGAACTTGGAGAACATGTTTGTCTGGGAGTGTTTACTTCAACTGGTGGGTGGTTGGAGTGAGGAATGGCAGAGAGCAGCGTCGCCTTTTATCCCATTCCGCATAGCGATAAGGGGCTTGCTTATTCGCTGAGTTGTATTCCGCGCGAGATGACGTCGGTGGCTGGTTGGACGTGCATGTCGCAGAGGAGCGAGCATTCCTGCTGCCATGATGAGTTGAGGAAGTGCCGCGGAATTGGTGGGAGACAGCCAATAAGAAGTGAATGAACAGTGCCAACTGTCCAATGAATGGGTGGATTTCTGTGTCGCCCGACGGTGTAACACAAAGATTGGGAATCTATGGGAGGAAATGCTGGCGCCTCTCAACGGCTCCCATGGCTCTTGTTTCCCAACGAGGCAACGTCGCAAGTTGCTCGCAACGAAGCACTCGAATTCTCGTGACGACCTGCTCAGAAGTCAGCACTTGTAAGAAGTCATTAATGTCACTCACAAGTTTCCCTCTGATGCTCCTAGGCGCCGTAGAACACATCTATCGGTGGACATGTTGGCGTCTCTCATGGCTCTTGTTTCCTCGGAAGGTAACGAAGCACTGGAATTCTGTATAATTCGCTCAGCAGTCAGGACTGGAAAAAGTCATTATTGTCACTCACGAGTGTCCCTCCGATGTCAACCAGCGCGTTCAACCCATCCCATGCATCACGTCCAACGCTCTCGGGGCCGCAACGACTCAACACACGCTCTCCCCTTCCACAAGGTACAGGGAACGCACACCCGCTAAAGGCATTCGGTCGAATGCGGTGGGATGACGTCGCTGTACTCGTATATCGAAGCATCGGCGCGTCGGTGAAACTAGGGGGAGGGTTGACACAGGCAGGACAGCGACATGAGAGAAAGAGGAAAGAAGAGTGCGCGTCATCATGCTGATCAATCGATACAAGCATTGAAAGGACCCACGTTCGAATACCGGTGCGGGCAGGCGCTTAATCCAAAGTTATGCTATCAGGACATCTCGGACGACACTACTACTAGACTAGTAATATGCTCCATTACGATGCCTCCACGATAAATTCTTTGTTAACGCAGAACTTTCTCCGAGCCGTTGCTTGAGGGACTGAGAAGGAAATCTCCTGCACGCGAACTTGAACAATTTAAATATACATCCCTCTATTAGGCACCAAGCGACCAGACACGCAACCAACTAAGTAGTAGGAAAAACTGCACACTGGATTTTTCCGACAAGCCATTACAAACAGTAGCGACTTGTTTAGGCAGTGATAGGGAGGCAGTTGAGCGCGATGAGCCCGGCCCACTCCGCCTTCGGGGGCTCGCAGATGACACTCAGGCGGGCGCTGTGAAATTACTTAGCACATTGATCCTGCACTTGCAAATCGGGACCGACCAATTGTTTCCACCGATGGTGATGGGTGAGCAGCTGAGGCCGACCGGGACGTTGAGGCCGGTGAGGTCAACGCCGACAATGGCAGCGACAGCGGATGCGGCGGCGCTCGTCGAGCTCACGACGCTGTTGCAACACTGCGGCGAGGTGGGCGTGGTGGCGGCAGCAAGGGTCTATGGATTGTCAGTTGAAGAAGAGTTGTTCCAGCGAGAATGAGGCCTACAGCGAGCGCAAAGAGGGCAGTGAGCTTGGCGAACATGGTGTTTCTGAGGGTTTACTGCAACGGTGGTTGGTTGGAGTAAGGATTGGGGAGGGAGGGGCAGGATTTTATCGTGTTTCGCGCAGCTGGCGATAGTAAATTCTAGAAACAAGGAGTTGGGGAACGTAGACGCGCTGTTGAACAGGTGGCTGCATTGAACGGCGCAGGACAGGAAGCATTCCCGATGTCAAGTAGCAGGAATTCGAGGTTGCCGCGGATTGGACCAGTAGAACGAATAGAAATGGCCGCTACTGTGATGACACCACGGTGTCCGCTTGTCCCGATTCGCCCGACGGCAGTCAGTACAGACAATGGGCCCGACAGAGAAGATGAGTGCCTGACCGCGCAGGCAGTATTCGCGTCTGAACACGTCTTCCTGTTTATTCAATGGCGATATCGATAACAGAAGTTGGACCACTTGAACTGAAGCGTTCAACGACTCCCATGGAAAGTAAAAGTAACGACTCGCTCACCGGACTTTCCCGCCCACGCCCTAGAACACGCACAGCGGCCACAAGGCCAACTTGGAGTCCAGTCGTCCCACTCCACACTGAGTCCCTGACACAGTGACACCGACCCGCGACGAACTCACGGTCAGCATAGAAGCGCCCTGTAATGCATGACCGTGGCGCCGACGGAAGAGACAGCGCGCATGTAAAGCAAAGGACATGAGCGCAGGAGGCAAAGAACGCGCCACGTAAGCATCACGCCATTCCACAGCGTCGCGGGTTCGAGGCAGGGTAGGCGTAAGTATTTGGAATACGGACCTTATCATTCTGCGGACTGGCTGGGGCGCGGAATGCTAAGTGAGATGACTATTGCTCGTGGCATGAAATATCTACTAAGTAGCTCGGCGCCAGATCTTGTGGAGACGCTCAGGTCGGGCGAAATGTCCGAAACTCTGATATCGATCGAATCGGATGAACGGGTGATGCGACATCATTTTTTCTTGCCACTCGCGATGACGACAACGAAGGGGACACCCACGACCGCGGACGCTATGTGCTAGCTGGGGGAGACAGCTTCCACCCATAGGTCTTACTTCAAAGTCCGCGCTGAACTCTTCCTCTTGAGTCTTGGCAACTGCTTCAGCGCTCGCGACACTTTTCAGCCCTTCTTCACCAGCTTCAGCTCCGTCTTCGACAACTCAAACCTATTTAATCCTCGGCCTGGTCACCCAGACCAAGCACCGCCATGGCAACCAGGCCCCATTGTCCTCCCCCCATGCCACGTGGCCGCAAAAGTGGTCCCAGCACTGACATCACATAATCACGATGCGCCATCAGTGCATTGTGACGCGTCCCAAGCGCCGCTGCAGCACAAAGGCTGTCGCCGGCCAGCCCCACATATGGCGATTCTGCGCGAGTGGCGAGAGTGGCGCTGCCTGAACAGGCAATTTCATCAAGCAATCCGGCTGGGGAGGGGATTGGGTATAAAAGCTGCTTGCTGGTGATGGAGGGTTTCCCAAGCCGCTTGTCTGCCACCTCCCCGCCCCCCCCCGCCCACTGCCCATCTGTGATTATATCCTCGTCCCCTCCACATCGACAATGCCGCGAGCCCAGCCAACCCAGAAACAACGCAAGGGCGGGCGCCGGCCGCCCTTCCCAAAACGCAAATACCAGTGCATCGAGCCTGGCTGCGACTGGTCATTTAAAACAAGGACAGATTTACTGCGCCACCAAAACACGCACCTGCTGCCCGCCGAGCGCCTCGAAGTGTGCGTCCCTTGTCTGTGACCCATCTCCACCGTCTAATCGAAGCGGAACAGGTCTTTCAAATGCACATTTCCAGGGTGTACCGTCGCGTGTCTGCAGGAGAGCGGGCTCCGGACCCACATAAATAGCCAGTGCGTTTCGTGCCACCCACTTTGCCACCCTGCTAATTGACCTCTCAGCACTGGGGCCAAGCCTTTTGCGTGCAGATACTGCATCCACCGAACGGGCGACGCGGCGGGGATGAACCACCATGAACAGAAGCACCACCCTAAGGAGTACGTGCCCCGCAGCGTAGAGGGTCGGGCCGCCCGCCGATCCGCGTCAATTGACGGCGCCAGTGATATCAGCGCGGAGGAGGAGGAGTCCGACAATGGAGAATTTGGCGTCTACGACTACTCCAACGGCACAGCTGGACCCTCAAACTATCCCGGCGCTGCGACCGATGACTATTTTTATGGTGTCAACGCGCCTGTCGCTTCGCCTCGCATCTTCACGCAACAAAAGCAGTCTCCCCCTGTAGTAGCTCTCGTGCCATCATATCCCCCCGCCGCCCTTGTCCAACACGGTTTCCATTCATACCTCGATTTCGTCGATGATCCCCGGTTCTCGGACCTTCCTTCAAGTCACGATTTCGACATGTACGGCTACGCCTCCGCCAGCACGAGCCCCGGGTCTAGCAGCAGCTCGAGTAGAAGCTCCTCGTTTCACTCGCCCGCCCCGCCGATGCATTCCGACCTTCAGCAGACCTCCTCGGCAGCACCACTGCCCTTGCAAGTGGCCGGAGGATACTACAACTCACATAGTAACTTCAATAGCAACGCGGCCTGGTCGCAAAGCAACTATCACTATGCTCCGTCCTCTTCCCACTTCCCTGTCTCGGCGAACACTAGCATGCACAGCAGCCCTGCCTCCAGCAGCTCAGATTTGAGCATGTCACAGGCCTCATCGCCCACTGCTTACCTGTCCTCGCCTGTCGAGTTTCCTGTTGCCACCAGCGCACCAGTCTTGCCACCCGTATCGTACCACTCGGAATATGACAACGCGGTTCCGTTTGGCGTGACCTATCCCTCGCCGCCCGCGCAGATCTCCGCCGACTTCGCTCACGACAATGGTGTCGACAACTATAACTTCGCTGTACTCGGGATGCTCGCCAGTGCAGCCATTGCAGAAGCCGATCCAGAATGGCCAACGTTATACTAGTAGTACAATTCCACCCATACTTAACATGGCTTGATCGTTAAGCATGTTAGTTTCCCATCCAGTAGTCGCATCCGAGTCGCATAAGTATACTATCTATATAATTACTATACTAGTATCTTTCTCTCTGTCTTTCCACTGCAATAAGATACCACGGACCGTCCTTCAGGTTCCATCATGGTTTGTCTAGCTGAATACAAACTTGGTAAACACCTCAAAGCTGCGACGCTACCGTCTATCCGACCTGGGCCTTGTTCCTCAAGTTTTCGAGTTATCATAGAACTGCGAATTCGCAGAATTATTAGCAAACAATATACTACTAGTAGCAGTGACTTAGTCGGTTGCCAGTGTCCTTTCACCTCACCTACCCTCCTCGCCTACCTTCGGGATGCGTATAAACAGCTCCGCATCACCGTAGACACAACCCTGGCCATACTCATTCCCCATGTACCCGCCAAATCCGCTCTCGGCCCGGTTCTGCCTGCCCCGCGGGGTCACCCAGTGCACCAGCTCCGTCCTGCGGGAGCCTTGATCAGGTGTCTTGGTCTTGGTGGCAGTCCTCCGTCCCTCCGGGCCGACCTCCGTCAACAACGTCCCCTGTCGCTCGATCTCCGTGTCGACGTCCGGCCCGTCGTCATATGGCGTGGCCACGGTGCGCAGCGTCGCCTGCTGGTCCATCACCACAAGCGTGGACCGGCGCTCTCCGTTGTGGCGCAGCTCCCGGGTGCGGTATACCAGCCGAATGCGCGGCATGAGCCCGGCCCGGACGGCCGCATTGCGGAGCCGCGCGTCGCAGCCCTTGAGCAATGCGGTGTCGAGCAGCGGGCCGGTCACACGGCTCTTTTCCGGCCCGCGCTCCGAGTCGGAGTCCGAATCGACGTACATTTCGTCGTCGTCGTCGTCGTTGTCCGAGGGCTTCTGTGGGTGGGGCATCGGGTATTGATGTGTCAGCCCGAACGCCAGATGCCCGCCCTTGGGGAACCACTTCGGGTCCGCGAGCAATGCCCGGAGTGAAGTCTCGCAGGCTTGCTCTGGCGGGGGCACGAGCCTGTTGTTTGGTCCTGTGGCTGAACGCGGCGTCAAGAACAAATTGTACGTCAGGGTAACGCGGTAGCCAGAGACAACTGGCTCGACAGTGTGCGTGACGTCGCTGAAGAACGCGATATAGGCTACCATGGGCGAGTCACGGTGCGCTTCGAGTTGGCGGGCGGAGTCGAATATCCAGGTTGAGCCGTCTTGCGAGAGCGTCAGCATCCCTCCCTCATGGTCTGTTGGAAGGACAACGACAAGCGAGCCGATCATGTTGGCTGCACGAGGTGTGTCTTGGTGAGCCTTGAAAAACGAGCCGGGGCCTGTGTGGCTGGCATCAGTAAAACTGCACACAGCACAACCGTGGCAACGACACACCATAGACATTCAGCTTGTACATCTCTGCCCTCAACACACTCTCATCTTCGTCAGCCTCATAGCCGATGAGCAAGTCCGGTGCGATCGCATCCAGGATCCCAGTCGACGCCAAGTCGAGCCTCGCCGCAAAGTTTTTCACGTCCATCTTGCCGGCCTTGCGGTACGTCTCGTCGAGCACGTCCCCGTTCTCTGCGCCAAACGTCGCCTTCTGGCACGCTTCCGCCAGCCGCACCAGCTCCTGCTCGGACGGGGCGTTGAAGTCAATATATCCCAGTCTTCAGTGCTTCAGTAACGTATGCGGAACTGAAGAAGCCCCTTACTCAACTGGCCCCCGATAAAAGACGCCCAAATCCTCCTTGCGGACGCGTTGCACGCCGCTGGTGTAGGGTATGGACGCCTGGAGCGACTCCTTGAGCAGGCCGATGTGCTCCGCGGCGGTCCATGTCCCCGGCATGGTGGTCGTCGACAAGAAAGGGTGAGTCACGAAAGTCACGGCATTGGGTAATCATCCGACCATCAAACGCGTTGCCAATTTCAAAGCTCACATGTTCGTGTTCAAGTTGCCATTCCTGATGCTGAGCGACTCCTTGCTTGTTGCTGACGCGGGATATTTCAGATGCTTCCGAAGGTCCCTCCTGGATTTCATTCAACCTTCTAAATTATTAAAACACAGGTTGAACATTTTGATCAACAAACGCTCACGTGCGGGGCCTGTGGGATGACATCACCCTATTGACTCATGATCTGCTCCCGTCTCCCACGCGTCTTCCTTGCCTCCTACTTCCATGTCCTCCCCTGCGACTGCCCCGGCGCCGTTCTCCTCGCTGGACGCCCAGCCAGATGTGGGCCCCGCGGACTTTGTGCTGCGCTCCTCGGACCCAGTCGACTTCTTCGTGCACAAACAGACGCTCGCTGCCGCGTCCGACTTTTTCAGCGACCTCCTCACCTCGCCACACACGTCTGCCGCCGCCGACTCCCCAACACGTGACGGGCTGCCCGTGCTCCAGCTGACGGAGCCCAAGGGGGTGCTCCTGCGCGTGCTCAAGCTTGCCTACCGTCCCACGCTGCCGAAACCCACGATCACCCTCAAGAACATCGACACGCTCATCCCCGTGCAGCAGGCCCTCGACAAATACCAGTTCACGGCCCTCGACAGCCACTTCTCGTCTTCCGCCCCACGTGACATGCTCGAACTCATGCGCGTCGGGGCCGCGAATCCGCTGCCGCCACTGCGGATGTTCGTCGTCGCGCTGCTCTGCGGGTATGTCTCTGCCGCCCAGACCGCGCTGCGGGTTGTGGCGCGGTCAGGTGATGTGGGGAACACGGAAGAGTTTCCGGAGATGGGCATGCTGACGTGGCCGCAGGGCCGCGAGATCGAGCGCTTGGTGCGCGGGTTTGGGCTGGCGCTGAAGGAGGTGGTGAAGGTCCAGACGGGGTATCGGCCGAAGGAGGTGGACCCGATAGGGCTTATACCGGGGCATTTTCGGTGGGTTCCAACCAGCGCTGCCCCGAATCCCGCTCCCGCTCAAAATCTCAACCCGAATCCTGGGATGATACAACCGTTTATGCCCCAGGCCCCCAACCAGCCAGTCGTCTTCGTCTGGTGGCAGCCCGAGGGCCACGCCGCGACGTGTCTCTCCTCGCACACCTCCTTCCAAAAGCGGAACCTCGTCACGATCGGGGCGGACACGCCGCTCGCGTGCAGCATCTTCCCGCGGCCGGCCACGTGGTTCGAGGAGCACGTGAAGGCGCTCGCCGCGAAGGGCGCGCTGCTCGGTTGGATGGGACGACACGCGGTGGACGAGCGGCCGACGGCGCCGCTGGCAGCGCTGGGGGACGATGTCGAGAAGGTCGTGCGGCGGTGCAGGCTGTGTGCGCAGTGGGCACCGAGCCATTTGGGAATGTGGGCCGAGGCGGTCGCGGGCGAGGTGGATAAGGTGGATGCGTGGTTGGGTGAGTTGTGATTGGACAACGAAGGCTTTCGAAACTGATTTCTGTTGCGCAGATTCGAATGTGGCTAGGATGGTGGTGAGATAGACCGTAGCTTGGCAGCTTCAAGGTGTTTACTTGAACGCTTTCACAGTTGTTCTATCATGTGTTCAACTCTACAAATCATGATGAAATACTGAAAGACCAATAGAGAGTACTATACGTATATCTATGTAATATCTCTATCTAAGAGAGAGATACTTTAGATATTATATAGATACGTATACTTATGCGATACGACTACTGTAACTTGTAAATGGATGAGAAACTAAGTGGAATATCTAGAGATATAACGGGATCATCGGCTTTGCCCAAGCACGACGCTCACGTCTTTTTCTCCTCCTTGCCTCATCGGTTCTTTCCAATTCCGCCCTGCGATGAACTACGTTCCGATACAAGTGAGTGAGAACTGGGCACGACAGTCACTCTATCGTCGTGAGCGTTGCTCCTGTTGCTTACCGGCACTATCGCTGCCGACAGCCCGGCGGCCGTTCCGGGGCCTCAATTTCCTGACATACGGTGTCTCCTCCTCCAACATCCGAGTCGGTCCCGCGTTTTCCTTTCCGCGGCGTCTTCCTGCTTGCTCACCGCTTCCCGAAGCGCTCATGCTAGTCGCAGCCGCGCTCGCACCCGCATCCCCGCCTCCCTCCAACGATGACAGGACTTGAGTTGCCGCTGCAATGAGCTTCGTGACGTCCTCCTCCTCCCTCTGCCGCTGCCCAGCACCTGCCGGCGCCGGGCCAAAAGCATACGGGTGAGTGCCCCGGAATGCGTTCAATGCAATGGTCGCAAACAAGACCGTGCCAGGGCTGTCTTTTGCCACTATGCACGGCTCCAGCTCCGACCAAATGCTGGCCGCAAGTTTGCCGCGGGAAAGCCCCGGCGGGAAGGCCCCGATGGGTAGCGAGTGGCGGTATGGGCCTGTCGGTGCTGGATCACTCGACTGAGGCACCGGCAGAGAGAAAGAAACTCGAAGGGCCGGAGGAGTCGGAGGTAGAGGTGTCAATGGTGAAGAAAAGCCCGACGAATAGTCGACCCCTCTGGCAGGATGCTCATCTTCTGGTACTCCCCCATGGGTTCCTTCGCGTTGCGGAGTCGCTGGGCGGAGATTGGTGTATGTCGTTGCAGAGATGTTGTCGTGCCCCATCTTCACGCTGTCTGAATTCGTTGAGGCAGAGGTAACTTGGAATCGGGTCAATCATGGCAAACGAAAAGGGCGCTGAATCACGCACGGTCGCACTCTTTACGGTGAGCGTCTTCCATCGCAGCCAGGCGTTTGCCATCCGTAGCTGGATCTTCGACTCCCGCCGGAAGCTCGTGTGCGGCAGGCATTTCGTTGTGGCCATGTCCAAATCGAGCCTCCGGCCTGCTGGGCGAATTGTCATTGCCATATCCCTCCAGGTCACTGCATCAGCATCGTCAGCACACGCAAAATCAGTGGAAGCGCAGACGACGTACGAAGACAGTCCCTCATCCGCCTCCCCGAGGACAGCCCGTAAGCCTTCTTCGCTCAGCCACTCGGACCAGTCGAAGTCGTCGTCGTTGTCGTCATGGGCCGCAAGAGTAGCAGTACTAGTTTCTGCCCTGTTCCGAATCTCCCGTAAGCAGCCGCGACAGGCAGAAGCAGAACGGCACGCACCGCGGCCAGGCGGGATGCAAAGAGTCCACACCGGCGCCAGCGCTGGTGTGTGCCGTGGACGACTGGGTCCAACGGTCGCCGAATTCCATTCAAGTTCCGCCGTAAGTTGGAAGTAAGTATAAGTAAAAGAGAGAGAGAAGGCGGCGAGGTTGGGTATTGAAGTGGAGGATAAGTGAAAGAGGAGAAAGCTGGGACATGACGCTCACAAGTTCGCCCTTCTTAAGCCCAGCGCTTTGACTGGAACATGAAAGGCATCTCGACAAAGGGAAGAATTGGCGACACTAGAACTTGGACTGTAGAAAGACTCGGAGGCTATGTCAGTGGCTGGGCTGCACAAAGGCCCTCGAGATACAGTACCTTTGACACAAAGGACACGCAGTGTGGAAGTGCAGACGAAAATGTGAGTGATTAGTCACGATGCTGATACGCCGGGAAATGGCCTAAAAAGGAAACATCCTTGAATTTAGCGCATAACCGGCCTGATTTGGCCGATTTCCGACTTATTACTCACGCACAACCAAAAAAATCACGGCTAGGCAATACTTTTCGTGCTTAGAGGTATACAGGTATCCAATATTTAAAGGGTAATCGGGAGGCAGTTGATCGCAATGAGGCCGCCCCACTCCTGCTGTGGCGCATCGCAAACAACGCTGGTGTCGCCGCTGGAGCCAGTTCGTGAGTGTCGTACAGCGAACGAAGACGTCTGGACTCACCAGTTATTGCCGACGACGGTGATGGGGGAGCAGCTCAGGCCGATGGGGACGTTAAGGCCGGTGAGGTCGAGACCGAGAAGGCCGGCGACGACGCCGACTGCGCTGCTGACGGAGCTTTCGACGCTCTTGCAGCAGAGGGGGGGTGGTCGGGGGAGTGACCGGTGGGGTGTTCCACGGGACGGCGGCAGCAAGGGTCTGAAACAGTGTAAGCAAGTGCACCCCGAGTGCGAGAAGAAGTCCCGTACAGCAAGAGCGAAGACAGTGGTAAGCTTGGAGAACATTTCTGAGAGAAGAGTTGCTTCAACTGGTGGGTGGTTGGAGTGAAGAACAACGGGGAGAGGGGGCCAGCTTTTATCCTCCTTCGCCTACCAAGTCTTGACAGAGAGAATGAAGTAGCTCCACAATGCACCTCCGTCGTCTCTGAGCGCGAGCGAATACGCTGACCGTTTCGTTGAAAAAAAAAATTGCAGTGACGTCGGTGGCTGGCTGTCGAGTGTCCAACATTGAACAGAGAACATTCGCACTGCCAAATATCCCGCGGGAGGATATGTATCTCCCGGCAGGTCCATCTGCGACACCACTTCTTGGTACCGCCGGCGACAGCAAAAATAGATTTGCAGTTGTCTGGTACAATGCCCTTGTGCATAAATCAGAGCTTAGACAATCCTGGTAGAGACCCGGGCCGACCTTCGAGCACCTCCAAGAGCTCCCGTCTGGTAACAACAGAAATTCGTCTGTGAGAGGTGGATCAACAACGTTAGGCAGAAAATAGACCACATACTTAGCGCTTACTCGTATTCCAAAGACAGTTTCGTTAGCTGCCAGCCAGCCAACGTTAATCCCATTGGTCGCATTAGAACCGCACAGAATGCGAACAGTCGGTCGGTTAGCTTGTGAATGCATCAGCAGCAGCAGAACATTCTGTTGAAACTTCCAAGTCCAACATATCCTCCCACTCCACAGCACCCCAGGGGCAAACGAAGCATCGAACTAGAATACAGAACTGACTCTCCAGCGTGCTGAGATGACGTAGGTGCCGCCGACAGTTTGTGTTCCCCGGTGGCGTCAAGGACAGCAGGCATTCAGAAGCTGTATGGGCTGGCAGGCGTTTGCGGGACCGAAAACGCTCAGCGACAGCGACATGGGAGAACGAGACAAGACGGAAACCAACACGTCATCATTCATCATTCGTATCAACTCGACTGATGGTCCACTTGATTTGGAATTTCTGTTTTCAGTGCACCCGCGCGCGGAGGCTTTCCAACTCCAGATCTGTATGAAATAATAGAAGGATCTTATTCATATGCTGATTCGTAGTGATTCATTGGCCTTGGCTTGGCCTGAAAGCCATGGCTTTGGCCCGGCTTTCAGTGGCCTTGGCATTGTATATATATAGGCCAGGCCAAAAGGTGTGGCTTTAGCCTGGCCTAAGCTTGGCTTTGGCCTGGGCCATGGCTTTCCATCATGGATTATTCTCAGTTATGATGGGTAAAAATGAATATATTGCATGAGAAATAACCCTTGAGAAGTTGATACTGAATGTTTATCAAGTATGAGAGTGCTTAAAGTGCAATCTCAGGTGGAAAAGCACAGATACATAGACTCAAAAAAGGAAATGTCACCGCTGATCACATCAGTCACAGCACTTAAATGATCATGTGATCAAAGCCACTGGCTTTGGCTTGGCTTTTGCCGGGTTAAGGTCAAGCCAGGCCAAAAGCCACCCAAGCCAAAAATTTTGGCCCTGGCTTGGCTTTGGTACCAAAGCCAAAAAGCCATGGCTTTTTGGCCTGAAGCCAAAGCCAGTGAATCACTACTGATTCGCTCCAACTTGAACGCGTCACAATCGTGAAATATTTTAGGGATGCTCAGAGACATTGAGAGTACTAGAAAAAAAAACGAGCCTATTAGCCATATTTATCATTAGAAAAAGCAGAGTGCTCACATAAGGATTGAGGGAAGTGCAGGTATAAGGTGCTACACATGCTTTACAAGGCGTCAGTCCGAGTCGCGAAAATTGGAAAAATAAATAGACTCACATGTCGCCCCCGTCCATCCCTGTCCACCGCATTGGTCCCAATGATTCGCAGTCTTTCCAGTCGGGGTGCTTGACGGCGAGGTAACCGGCGTCGTCGAAGAGCTCGCAGGGGGCGTGCTCGAGTCGAAAGTCGTGGTTCCAGCGCTTGTTGTTGTCCCCACCGTCGTCGATGAGCTTCCCGAAGAGCCCGAAAGCGAGGCTGGCGGCGTCCATGGTGCCCACTGGGAGTTGGGAATCGCGAACGAGTACCCGCCCGACGTCTCGGTGATGTTGGTGTTGGCGGACGACTGGTTCAACAGGAACTTGTTAATGAAGGCGTTGAGCTGTGTCTGTTGTGATGACGGGAAAGAACAATGAGGATGGTCGGGGGATTGCGAGAAGCCCATGTTCGTGGGTACACCCAATGCCGTCCAAATCGTCCGCGCAGAAACCAAAGCGCCATAGCTGGCGAATGGCCCAAGCCAGGCATATCCGACATTGTCGATGGCGAAGAGTCCGCGTGGCGCAACAAGGCCCATAAGCAGGTGGTGGTCGAACGGCAGCTTGTTAACTGAAGACTGGGCGTATGTGTTGAACAGAGTCGAGAACCAGACGTTCTCGCCAATAATTTCCGAGGCTGTCTGAGTGCTAGTACCATTCTTCAGGATGGAGTCAGAGATTCGCCAGGAGTCTGTGCCTCCAGAGCCAGACTCTTGTGGGATGGTGAGCACAATACGCGGGTCAAAGGCACCGGCAACGAGTGCGCCTTTGCCATTGCGGGAGCAACCCGAGACAGCAACGCGAGTAACGTCAATCCGAGCGGCAGAGGTCTTCGTTAATGCATCCATAATACGCCGTACGCCCCAAGCCCACGCCATCATAGCACCTGAAGACGAGTGAATAGGCAAGAATAGGAAAAACAAGATATAACCCAACACACCTGCGGAATGATTCGTGCCATACATCTGGAAGAACTTGCCCTGGCCGCGACTCGACCCGTTGACCTGCGCTGCCATTTCGTCGTTATTGAAATTGATAACTGCAACGCCTGCCGGAGATGGGATCGCAATTCCGCCAATGCCAATGATCGCCGGGAATGGTGCGGTCCCAGACGAGGGGAAGGATATCGTTGGCGCGAAGGTGAGGGTCTTACCGCCGTCGGTAACGGTAATGGAGAGGGTGCTGCCGGAGAACGTCGCCGTCACGGATTGTGGGTCGGCTGGCATCGCGCCGAGCTCATCTTGCTGAAGGAGCGTGCTAATTTCGCTTTGGCGGCATGCCCAGTCAGCCTTCGTGACAACCTTAGCGCCAGAAGCGAAAGTAAATGGATCCTGAAGTGTTGCAGAGTTGTAAGAGCTCAGTGAAGGGATGGTCGGGCATGCTTTGTGCGAGTTAGACTGGGTAGAGCAACGGTCAGAACAGAAGCGTACATTGAGCTGCAACATTTCCCAGTCCGGTCAACGCGAGGAATCCAGCGAGAATGTGAAGCATCGTGAATCTGCGTCCGGGAGCAATCGCGGCCAATCCATCTTTTAACTTGAGCAAGGATAATGTCCGGCAAGTATGCGGAAAGAATGCTTGGAGTTGTGGGGTGGATGACCTTTAATTCGTCAATGCTTCCGAAAGATCGTCCACAGAATGCGCTCTGGGTCCACCACTGGCAGAAGTTTTGCAGACAACATATTGCGCGTTCTATTAGGTTCCATTATACGGAACGGAAAAACAAGAATGGCGTGTTGGACGCACCCTATCATCGCGGACAGCCTTTCCCAGCCGACGGGGCAACACTCCAGTAGCCTCGTTCTCAGCTGCCCCGCTCGCTGTCGCTTCCAGATTGTTGACCCCAGATCACGCGCCACTATGCCAAGCCCTTTTGCACCAACATTAGACTCAGCGGCCGGACTTTTTATGTGCGCGGAGGATTCAACTATTCAACGGATCGAGAAGGCGGAGCAAACATGTCGAACGGCGTACCTCGAAGAATCTGTTATTTGTTTGCCATGATGGGCGGACGGAGAAGGGTTAAAAACACGTGCGGTGTGACACAGAGAGATGATGGTATCACTGCTCGTAGATAAGATTCCCATCAGGATGTTATTTGCGAAATCGCAGCTTTATGTGTACAAGTCGGTAAATCCTACTCCATGATGCAACGCGAGGCATCCGTCGCCGGCGGAATCGCTATGAAAAGTGCCGCGTCTCCATAGACACAATCTTCCGAATAGTCATTGCCGTAATTTGCCGTGTAGGATGACTTGGCTTGATTCATCCAAGTTGGAGGAGTGGCCCAGTATACGCCGATGGGTAAAGCTTTCGGTGCTCTTCGATATTCGTATCGGTCCCCAGGTGTCGCCGGCCGAACCGCGTCAGTCCCATCGCCATTCAAATTTTTCAGTATTTCGCCTTGCTCCTCAATCTCGACGGATGAGAATCCCTCATCGGCATCGAAGTAACTCATGTCGGCCACATCATCAAGCACGACAAGCCGCTGCGGCCATCCTTCGTGAATCTCTTCGTACTCGTCGACGCGGTATATTAGCCGCAATCGAGGAGCAAGACCTGCCCGCAGCGCAGCATTCTTGAGTCTGGCATCGGCCCCCTTGAGGACTTCTGGCTTGAGCATGACATGTCTGTCTCCCGAATCACGAGGAATCGGGTACTGGTGAGAGAGGCCGAATGCAATATGCCCTCCCTCTTTGAACCAAGTAGGGTCGGACAACAATGCGCGGAGGGAAGTTTCGCAAGCGAGCTCGGCGGCAGGGGTGATTCTGTGGATCGAAGAACTTGAAGTCGAAGGAGACAAAAAGAGGTTATAAGTGAGGGTGACCCGGAAGCCTGACACCACAGGCTCGACAATGTGGACAACATCGCTGAAGAAAGCGATGTATGCGACAGCAGGAGTTTCTGGGTATGATTCCCGATGTTGGTCGAGTCGGTTGGAGGAATCAAATGTCCAACGACCTTCTCCGTGTTCCAGTACTAGCGCTCCGCCTTTATGCAGTGTCGGCAAGATTATGACAAGCGACCCGACCATATCTTCTCCTCGAGGTGTATCTTTATGAGCCTTGAAAAACGACCCCGGACCTGTCAAGACAAACAAAAAAAAGTGAGTCAATCGATTGGTGGTCATACAATAACGCACCGTATACATTCAGCTTGTACATTTCGGCACGCAACACACGTTCCGGTGTCAGCGGATGGGCCACCTCAGGGTTGGGTTCTGCTTGCTCGTCGACCTTTCCTCCCACTTTGGCAGCAAATATCTTGGGGAACTCGACAAGAAGGTCCTGAGCGACAGCATCCAGAAGCCCCGATGAAACAATGTCAATGCGTGTTGAGAACTTGTCCGTATCTAGCTTGCCCGCCTTCCGATATGTTTCGTCAAAGACGTCTCCGGAGTCAGAGCCAAAAGTGGCCTTGTCGCAGGCGGCTGCGAGAGCTTCAAGCGGGGCATCGTCCTTCAAACTTGCGAAGTCAATATATCTATCGCATTTCAGCATTTCGGGACCAAGAGAGAGAAAACTAGACGACATACCGCGCTCCATCCCCGCCATCTGTGCTAAAATAGAGTCCCAACTGCTCCTTGCTCACAGGATGCATGCCACATGTGTAAGGAACGGCGTCCTTGAGCGACTTCCGCAAGATTTCGAGATGGTCGGCGCTGGTCCACGTCCCAGGCATCTCTTCGTGGCCACTCTGTCGTGTGCGTCAAAGGGGGAAAAAAGAGTTACGCGGCCCCTACTTATCCGAAAAGGAGTTCGAGCGATCGTCCTGTGAGTCATCATCGTCTCCCACGGATAGTCGTCCACATTTCATGTCCACAGAGTGTTTGTCGTCCTCGAGGTGGCTTAATGAGACGATAGGCCTGTGACATCCATCGGTTGTGGCTCCGAAGAAGCTTGAGTGCCAGTGAGAGATTTTTCCGTTCGATTCATCACAAGAAGAGGAGGCCAAGATAGAGCTTGGGGAACAGCAGCCAACAACGATGACCGCAGAAATCATGCTCGATGAAGTGAGTCATGCCCAATGACAGGGGATGTGACGGCTCCACGTGTCCTGTGACACTTGCGCATCTCGATCAACGTTCAACTCCTTGGCCGACGATTCGTATCGTCCAATGCCATGGTCGTCGACGAAACGCGTCCAAACCAAGGGTTGGGGAAGGGACAAGACGACCTCAAACCATGCTCTCACGCTTATGCTCAAATGCTTGGTCGGCGATAGCACTATTCCCGTAGGTCCGTCCCGCTGACGCTCTCATATTCTTAGCCCTAACCAACTGGCAGACGCCAAATGACCGTGACACTGCTTACCATCCAGCTTTCCATCGACAGCTGTAACTCCAAGTTACAAGGTAGGCACACACCTTGTTAGATGAAGGCGATGTCTGACCATTAGACTAGATTGTGCACTGTATTTCTTCATATGTGTAAAACACAAGAAGCTTTGCAAGAAGCACCGATTCAACAACGAAGCAACTATGTAGGGCCTCGGGTTTTAGGGCATGTGCCTCGACGACTGAACGACGGTCGCCACGGTGTCTACTATTGCCGCTTGTCCCCAGCAACGGATGATTCCCATCCACGTCCTGTTACCAACAGCAGCATCTTGGCATGCTGTTCTCGAAGTCACTCGCGTCATCGCAAAACCACAATCCACTGTCTAATTCCCCTCTTTCCCAAGCCACCACCACCTCTTCTGCTACAATGTGGCGCGTCGGTGCACTCCCAGCGAACTTTGCCCATGGCTATGCCGAAGTACCAGGGTTCGTCCCTCCATCCAAGAGCAAAAGGAGAGCCGCCAAAGCCTCACGCGACCCCTCGCCAAATACCCGAGCAAAGCCAGTTTTGACGAGTCTGGCTGCATCGCAGACAACCCTTTCGCTCCATTCGACAGAGTCATCAGACACCAACTCTACCAAATCATCCCGTCACGACCATGGTGCGCTATGTCTTTCTTGTGTGTTTGTTCTCTAAAGTACTCTTTCTGTATGTAGACAGAAAATCGCTAGCGTCTCCCATTACCTCTTCTCTTCGTCTCCTCCGTCGAAGTCGGTCATCAAGCATCTCCCATACTCCGCCTCCGCCAGTTCCACCTATACCACCCGTAAACGACCAGCTGCCCCCGCCAATAAAGCGGTCAAATAGCTATAAAACCCGGAGTAAACCCGCAGTGCTGGTTCGTTCGCGCTCGCGGCCGTCACTAGACAGTGAACGACATGAGACCCCAGTACCAGGCCATTCACACACACTCCTCAATGACTCCGCGTATCCTCCGATGCCTACTCGGCTGCAGCTCGATATCCCACCGTCTCGTCGAAGCATGTCCCGTGATCCCAGCTCAGGCTCGAGCTCGAGCGCTACCATGACGCCAGCTGTGACGCCAGTCCAGAAGACTGGAGTTGCCTTCGAACGAACAGACACTGTGGACTCTACCGTCAGCAGTCTTCTCGAGTTCGCTGATCCGGTGCCCGTTACGGGGATGGCTAAGGCAGCGGCCAAGTACCAGTCGACGTTGGGCCAGGATATCGAAGCTGACGTGCGAGAAGGAAATAAGGATTGGACGATGGAAGAGGACAGGCCCGTCAAATTAAAACGGTCTGGCAGCTTGAGCAAGCTGGCCAAAACGCTGGGTTTCGGGGTTTCGGATATGCCACCTCCTCCTCCAAGGCTGCCGCTGTCTCCGCCTATTGCCGCTCCGCTTGCGCATCCCCCAATTCCAATGCGACCCTCCGCCACCCTACCGCCCATCCGACCACCGCGCTCCCCAGCCAGACTGACGAAACAAGTTGGGCATTCGCGACGGTGGAGTATATCGAGCTTTGCAAGCTCTACAAACTCGGAAAATCACGACTCGGAGCTGATGACGACCCAGTCCGAAGCACATGGTGTCTCGCGAGCGCTGCCTATACCGCAGAACTTTTTCGTGAAGGATGCGGCTGTTGAACCTGAGAGGACTTCAGCAGTGCTGCGTGCGGAATACCTTCCTTCTGCTCAGATACCCAAGAGCGCGCGGGGAGCTGACCAGAGCTGGTACGGGGAGTGGAATCGACGCGACATCCGGGATGTCATTAGCTCTTTGCGAGAGCTACGATGAAAAAGAAATGCTTGGTATATTAAGATATAAGGGGGTTATGTTATCATACTTTATACATGGATAATGATAGTTTATAATCCTCCAGCACTGGCTATTGGTCCTGGAGTCCGAAATCAATAAGTATGTGCTGGAAAGACGCGGCCACGTGATGCACTTCTTCTTACCGAGAAAACTGGATTAACTCGTAGTTGGCAGTCGCGTGGCTTCGAAAGCACATAGGTACAGCTGGCTCCGCACGAGAGAGGTCAAGCCTTCGAGTTGACTCACTAACGACCACCACAAAGGTTATGAGGCGCATCGACGGATCGTGATGCGCCATCATTGACGTTGTCGGGTGGCAGTGGCCGGGTCAATTGATCAATCTGTTCGGGATTCTTGTCCTGCAACGAGCCGCGGAATGATGTGGGGCGATCCTACTGCCAACACCGAATCAGCTGGCAACCGTTGTCGCTCGTCGCGTCCATCTTCGTCGCAGATCAGATCCCTTGCGCACCGCCCTTTTCATTCTCCCGCAAATCCATCGCCCCTCATGCTTACGATCTCCCCCGTTTCCGTGATCGACCCCGGTTCATCGCCGGCGCATGACGGTTGACAAGTGTGCATGAGAATAGAACGTCTTTGCTGATAGCGGCCCTATATATCCACTCGACAGCGGCCGTCGCCCAGCTTGGTCTCATCCTTCTCCTCCCTCCATTGCCTGCCTTACCGCGCTCCGGTCGTCCTGCCCCATGGTGGAAAGGAATGACCTGGAACATACTCACCTGTGAGTTCCTGCTGTCCAGCTCGTCTCACGTGGCGATCTAACAGGGCTGGTCGAAACAGTTTAATGTCTATCCTATCACGCTTTGCTATTTTCCCTTCTTCAGCCGCCGGTGAGCCTTCTTCGCCTTCTACGCTGTGAGCCGCATGACCCTTTTGTCGCGCACCAACCTATTCCTAATCGCATTTCTGCAGCACCCAGCCCCAAACGTCACCCCTCCATTCCATGCAAGCCTTTGCCAGTGCATCAGCGTGTGTTGACCTTAACCCGCATCGCGAGAACCAGACTTACCGTGCGCTCACAGCCCGAATCTGTCCAAGGTCATGCTTAATCTAAGGTAAGTTTGATGCATTAGTATCAGCACACGGCGGTATTGATGCTCACAATGTCCTCCAAGACGACGAAACTCGACAACGATAGGTGGTGTACCAGCGCCGTCGAGATCAAGGCTGACATCGAGATCGTCTTCGTGCGTCCAGTCATCGCTCTTTCGTTGCCCGTCCGCTGCTTAAGAGGCCCCGTTTAGGAACGTCGCAGAATCACCAGCTTTGCTCGCAAGTGTCATTGTCGGCGTTGTCCTTGTTGTTCTCGTCATGGGACTCATCTTCAGCTTTGTGCGGACACAAAGACGGAAGAAACAGGTCATCGTCGATGCAGAGAAGGGTCACAGCCGGTTACTACCCTCGTCTGTTGGTCAAATACAAGTCAAAACCACAAGAACTGGGACTATAGACACCCAAACGACGGGACGTACTGTTCTTGATATCACCATGCCTAGCAATGGCGTCGCAGCTTTCTCTGCCTCTACAGGAATGCCCGTTCCCCCCCGGGGCAATGCGTTCCGCACGATTGTCAACAAGGAGTTGCCCCCACCTCCAATTATCCACCGACCCTCCCTTCCACAACTCCGAATAAAGGAGACTCCGACTCAGTCTGGAACTTCCTCGACCTCGCCCAGTGCTCTCCGTAGAACACAATCCCAATCAACCAATACTCACACCAACACGCACTCTTCGCCCTCCGACCCCTCCAGTCCAAGCGACATTCATCATGTCCAACGTCTTCAACGTGGACTGAGTTTTATTCCACGCACCGCTGGCAACACCGAATCCCGCCCAGCATCACGGTCGTCACTTGGCACAATGACGACGATGATGACCTTGCACTTGAGCAGCGCCACCGCCGCGCTGGCAAACCCTGGACCCAGCCCCAGCCGGCCAGTGTCCATGGCGATTGCAAGACGGGCCACATTACCCAATCTACGGCGGACCCAGTCCCAATCCACTGGTACCAACTCGCATTCTTCTCCCACATCCTCGAATGAGATCCAGCATGTCCAAAGGCTTGTCAAGGGTCTCAGTTTTGCGCCGAAGGCGTCGCCTGGTATGCCTGCAAGGCCAGCTTCAAGATCGTCGCTCGGCACGCTTGCAACTCTTGGCACCACAACTAGGTCAAGAAGAACGAGTGCCAATTCTGGTCTAGCAATGCGGGAGCGGACACGTTCCATGGGTGAAGCGTCAATCCCCGCTCTCCCAAATCCCCATCCGTTCTTGCAGTTGGATCTGAGCTCGCGCGTTGAGAGCAGAAAGTCGGGGGCTCGAAAACATAATGGAACTCTGTGGTCGCCCGAGCCAAGCCCACGCTGGCCAATAAGCTTCAGCGACGCCCAGGCAGAACAACCTGCGGAGGACGTTTCAACAAGGGACGATGCAGAAAGGTCGGAGTATGACGAACCGATTCAGGTTCCTGCCCCTTCATTCCTTCCTCCGAGCCCGGTAGAGCCAACACCCAAGCGCGCAATTCGGACTCTTCCGCCGCTGCCACAAAAAGGGCCTTGGGCGTATGGTGTAGTATGGGATGTCGAGGCGCAGCGATGGCGGCGAAGTCGGAGTATGCTGAGGCAAGGGAATATGCGGCCAGGAGGCGGGCGACCAAAGAGTACGCGGACTACCAGAATGCCTATCGGACAGTGAGTATTTGCTCTGTTAGAATATCATGGTGGGAATGTCACGGTGAAAATTCAAGGACTATAATAAGCAGTCGTAGTGACAATGTTTTAACATTCTGCACCGTTTCCGTGCACTTCAAGTGCGAAAGTAAAGCTGGTAGTCGAGAGGAAAAAAGTATTAAACGTGACGAGGGGATCTCTGATCCGTTACTAAGTGGCGCATCAGCGCATCATTATCGTAATCATATTCTGAAGCAATAAGTATTCTATCGGAGAATATTCCTCGCGCTAACGAGTAATGCTTCCCCGAGTGACTGCTCGACCCCAAAGTGATCGCACAGCGCCAAAAAGAAATCCTCATCTGGCTCCTCAAATAAACCAATCCAATCACTCGTCCGCATGCCCAATGCTCTCCGAATGTCTTGAATTCGACCACATACAGCATGATGTCCCGTTTCGGAGTTATAAGCACGGCGCTGGCACTATTCATACCATTAAATCGGGCCCTCAATTAAGAGAAGTTAAATGCACCTGAGAGCTGCAAAAATTCGCTCCTGAACATCCACCACAAACTCGTGGGTAAGACGGTGTCGAGCAAAGGATATGGCGCCGGCGTGTCTTTGGATTCTGTGCAGGGCATCCGGAGTAGGTGCATTTGGCATGGTAGAGCGATAAAATGAGTCGGTATGCCTCAAGCAATGGCGGCGAGAGGTTTTCTTTGTCCTCGTCCTCGTCTGAGTCCTCGGAGTCGGAGTCCGTGGACGAGCATTCTGAGTATTTGCGTTTAGCTGGAGAGAGTGGGCGGGTGGCAGGAATCATAGGCATCGTTTCGGGGAGGAAGAGACGTGGAGCGGCTGTGACGACGGTGCTTTGTGCTTTTCACTCTGAGCATTGGACAAAGAACTTGATTATAAAGAGCCAATGGTCCTGATTGAAGCTACCGATACTCTTGCAGGTCGGATGCTCAACGGGAATTTGAAGTTGGCCGTGTGCGATGTCGTTGTTGAATTCAATGAGTACTATGAAAGGCGACAAAGATGGCTTACTTCAAGTGAGGATTCACTGAGCAAGCAGAGTCTTCGTCTGGCTTTCGAGGCTGTCCACAACCAGTATCGCGGCTTCCTTCTGAGCATCATTGTCCTCAGTTTCATAGCAAAAGCCTTGCGAGCTGCGGGTCGTGGCAACCTGAGGATAGTCCGATCATTTCATGTGTAAGCGATCACGGATGGTCCTCCTCTCGTTTTTCCCTGATCGAGGAGTGTTAGTTATGGCTTCACTCATTCCCGGCACTTTTATTCGATTTGCATCCCTCGCATACTTTTCTCTCGTGGTGCCCGTCATCTGAACTTTCCGCGGCCTATTGCCATACCGCACTTGGGCTCCTTTCAAGTTTTGAACGGTTTGGTCCCTCTAAATCACTGGTAAGCTTGTAGTTTGCGGAGTCGAGTGGAATGTCATTGATTTTTTCAGAAACCGGGTCATTGTCAAGTTTTGCTGGGTGTCTCATGAACGACAAGAAAAGTAACGGAGGTGCTCCGAGAGTCCGATCCCATGCATCTGCGTGCACCCATTTGAGGTTTCGCGTCGCGTAAACCCATCTACACTGGGAGTCCGAGTCTGAAATAATTTGGTGTGTACCCGTGACTTCTCGAGCTGCTGGACAAGTTTTCTAATACTTATTTACGTGTTCTTAGTCTTCAAGTTCAAGTTGCAGCTACGAGGCACGGATTCTCTCTTACCACCCATCCACGTTTGTGACTGAAGCCGACTTCGGAACACCTACTATATGCTAGGCGTCCGTCTCTAAAGCTAGAAAGCCAACCATCTCTGATATCAAACATTTAGATTCACCCCGCCGCGCGCCCGACGAAAACTTGAGCCGTCCAGAGATTAGTAATTACCGGAGATGAGGCTGCTCAGAGTCAAATCGGCTGGTCGTCTTCCTCATCAGATAGTTGGTCTCCCGGGTCATTCCGTTGCAATTTTCTCTGTCGCTTTCGAGTCCACTTAATTCAAACCTTGCTTTCGCAATCCCCCGAGTTTTTGGCTTATCTCTCGGTCTGGCCAGCTTTTCTGGTCTCATTTCATTTCATTCGTCTATATCAACTCTTCCGTCGACTGCGTGGACATCTCACATCGCAATCGAGATTGACAGCTTATATCTGTGCAAGGATCTCAGAATCGCTGGTTTGTGCAGCCTCCGTTGCAATTGGCAACCACGAGCGGGAGTCTCAGCCACGAAACGCGAGTTCCGAGAGCAAAGTGTGGGACGAGATGGTGGCGCAGCGGCAGCGAAACCCACTCGCCTACTACCTTGAGCCCTCATCCGAACCTGCACAAAGCGCAATCACTTTCTGGACTCGGTGTCGATGTTTGGGGAAGTTTATCTCGAACGAACATCCCACCGTAGGTCAAGCCCTCCCAAACATGTTCTCCAAGCTCGCGATCTTCATGGCTCAGATGCTTGGTTCCCGATACGAAGTCGTGTGGGGCAGCACAGGCGCAGTCGATTCGCTCCGATAAAGAGCTCAGCTCTCCGGCTGTCGACGAAGTCAACGACATCGCGGAATCCCCTCTGGAGGAAACTTACCTGGGGCAGGAGAACCGGTCTCCCATCGATACCATTCCCAACGAAGGCTTTTATACCTTCCTCGGCATGTCTCTCAGGCTGACACGCCGAGCCTTCCGTGCTGCGATTTTTGCATCCACCATCATCATGCTAGTTGTATACCGCAGCCAATGGTATCGCAGGTGTGCTCCTCCTGAAGTAATGCCGCGACCCGGCGGCCCCAGCGTCAATTTCTCTTCGGGTTATTCGTGCCAAATCCGATTCAAATCAAGGACATGCAATACGACGCCAGTCTTGTCCCATTTCTACAGCTGTCGCTCAACCTTCAGTCCTTCGGCATTGCGTTACTACCCAAGCTATAACGAAAGACGGGCCGGCTCGAGGAATCGGGTTGTCGACACGCTGTCTGAATTATAACGTCCGAGTCTGCCAACATTGATACGATGCCTCATCGACAAGAACCAACTTACTAATACGTATGGACAATGCAAAGGACAGCTATACTTCGAAGACTAGCAATAACATTGGCAGCAGAAGCAATCGCTAGTCCAGCAGGCTGCTTGAATTGGGGTGATAAACCCGCCCGATAATCCATTCCTTCTGAGCATCACTACTCTAGGGGCAGTCGCGAACGACCACTGGCACTGGCACTTAATCCGAGTCTGAGTGTCAATAAGTATTCGCGCAACTGACGGCTGAGTAGCTAAGAGAAAGAGAAGTTCGTATCAAAGAAATTAAAAATTATCGGGTGCCTACACGATCCCGGAGCTATATAGTGGCCACGCTTTCTTAGTTTATAGAGGAGTAAAACTCAAGACAAGATTATTACTATGAAAACTTCAAAAATGACATTCAAAAGCTCGACAACTAAAAGATATACTAAGACAACTTGCAGTACTACATATAGCACAACAACGTCATACAAGTATACAATGGTTCGTTGGAAATTGACAAAAGAGGGAAAAAGCAGTCATCACTGAGAAGGTAAAAAATCTGCGACTTGAAACTTCGAGTTGGCCTTTTAATCGTGGAGGCGGTTTCACTCAGAGAGTGATGGGGATGCAGTTGATGGCGATGAGGCTGCCCCATTCCTTCTCGGGAGCATCGCAGGTCACCTTGGTTCCACCGCTAATGGCTCATTAGCACCAACGCAATAACAATACTAGTAGCAGAGAAAACTTGCCAGTTGTTTCCGACGACGGTGATGGGCGAGCAGCCAAGACCGATGGGGACGTTGATACCGCTAAGGTCGAGGCCGAGGAGGGCAGCGACAGCGGAGACAGCGCTGCTGGAAGAGGACTGGACGCTCGAGCAGCACTGGGGCGAGCTCGGGGGCGTGACTGGTGGTGGGGGGTTCCCAGTGGGGGTGGCGGCAGCAAGGGTCTGAAGAAAATCGTCAGCACATTGCTATATGCTGATGAACATAGAGGCCTACAGCAAGAGCGAACAGAGCAGCGACTTTGACGAACATGTTGGTTGTTTGGGGCTTTACTTCAACTGGTGGGTGGCTGGAGTGAAGAGTAAGAACGATACAAGGCGGCTTTTATTCCATTTCGCTTCGCGTAACAGGGGGCGATGACGAAGAGGATGAGCGCAATATCGACCGACGGTTCGCGAAGAACAAATCAGAGCATTGTGGAGCTGTTGATTTGGACAAACGATATTACGGCGAACTGTTTTTGTGTTTGAACCAAGTTTGAACAAACAGTTGCAGCCAGGACCAAACCCTTTAGGAACGATTCGTTCGCACGCTGTAGGATCTTGATTACAATGAAAGATGCCTGGGTGGAGCTCCTGGGCAGAGAATATGGTCAAAGAATGACATCGGAAGAAAGACATGGCTCGTACATCGTACAGTCACTAGCTATAGATGTGATCGTCTGCGCTGAAGTGAGCTTCCTGGACAGTTTTGGTTTTCGGCGCTCAGTTCGAAATAAATGCGCAGTTTGTCGTTATTGTGAACGAGTAGCCTTGAAGAACGAGGGTTATTTTTCGATGAGCGACCATTGAGCGGCGCAGAGCAAGAAGCATTTTCGATGTCAAGAATAGATTGTTTCATATGACGCTAACCACTCCACGCCCAGACACCGCGGGATGTGTAGGCCACAGTGTTCTCTGCCTCGCGGATGAGAGCCAAGGTCAACGATGTCGTGCCACCAACTGCCCGATGTCCATCAGCGGTGAAAGGACGGCGAGCGTTTAGTTCGCCGCGGCAGTAACCCGGAGGAAAATGACGACTTCAGTTCGTTTGTGAGAAGAATGCAAGGAAACTTGGAGGCCTGTGTCCGAGAATCCAGGATAAGTAAAGGCTGGGCCCTCAGAAGTGCTTCGAAGGGCGATGAATCAGAATCACCGCGAGGATTACTCCACATTCTCGTTTTCCTAGCCCGAAAATACTACTCCCCTATGTAATGACGGGGTTGGAGGATGAGGACAGATCGGTTTGGAACAACGAAACACGAGCCAGAAGAGCTTTAAGTCCAACAGTTTCTCCCACTCCGCATGATATGGAACGCGCGATGGTCAATTACAAGACACAAGACTTGAGTGGTGCCCTGTATTGCACTGCTGTCTCCGTTGGACAGGGAAATGTCAGCGCACTAAAAGCACCCGTGGTCCATAATATACTGGAGTAGAATAAGATCAGCGAAGCGGTAAACAAGTGCTAGGCTGCGAGCCTGAGGTGGAATGTAAAACACACCTCACAACCGTCGACAGTCGAAGTCAAAAGACACGTTTGAGTCACGTTGGTCATAATTACCTCAGCACGATCAGTGATGCGTATGACCAAGATTCAAAATGTCCTCTCGGGACAGATTCAAAGTTATCCATGGAATAAGAAATACATGAAGTCCGGATCCTCGATACTACATAGTGATTATAAGTACATTACGCAATAAAATGATGCGATAAAGTCCCATTTAAATGTCCACTCGCTGTCGTTTCCTTGGAGGTTCTTCCTCGTCCTCTTCCGCATCAACTTGCTCCTGATTAACGCCTGTATCATTCCGGGAGTTACGAACCCCGTAACACCCAGCGAAGTGGTCGGAGAACTCAGAAATATGGTCAAAGTCCCGCAGGCAGCGCTTGCACACATAGACTGGAACACCGTGACATCGCTCGACGACTGCTTCCCAGTCAATGTCGGCAGCGATGTTGGATAACAGCTTGGTGATAGCATCCATGGATCGTTGGTGGCAAGTCGCAATGTGGCGGCCCAGACTGCGTAATTGCATGGGCTTGCCTTTGCACGTGGAAGCTGAGGCAGTGTAGGGACATGGTACCCGCGTGGTTCTGTCCGTGGAAAGTGGGTGTGTCGCGGTGATGTGATGTTGCACTCGAACGGCGGTGGCAGACGGGGGGAACACGCAAAGGCAGCCATCGAAGAGGCAGGGGATTTGGAGAATTTCCAGTGGAATAAATGGAATCTTTGGAGGATCCGGAGTCGTAGTAGTAGGACCGACAAGCGGGGGTGCATGGAAGGGGATCACCCATGGAGTAATCGCGTCTACAGCAAGGGTTTGAGCTCGGAATGCGTCCATGAAATGGGTAGCAATGATTGTGCGGACGCTACGCTGGACGTAGGCAGGAGCGTTTGCATAAGAGGTCAAAACCTGGCGACTGTAATGCTAGTGAGCAATGGCCTGGGAGAAATGTGACGATGAAGAAACTTGCGAGGAGATCGAGAGAACCGCTCTATGAGATGTGTAATGGTTGACAAATGCAGCGATTCTAAGGACGAAGTTAGTGCGCCACACAGGGACGAGCCAACATGTCTCTCACGGATCAGACACTCGGGTGGTAGCTTCAACTGGTCTAGAAACCAGTATAGGTGATAGCTCTGCGCGTTTTTAGATGCACGGTCATCGCAAGGGGCGCCAGTCACCTGCGGGTGCGGAATATGCACTGGTTTCTTGATTGTTGTCCGCTTGGATATCCTCCGTGTTGTCCATATGCGGCGCTTGATTCCGGGGGCTTAGAATTACGCGACGCTCTTTGCCCTCTACGGTTTCCGAGAAGTGCCAATCACTAGCAACGAAGGGTTCATTTATGCCACATGCCGGAGGCAGCGACTCTGAATAAACGCGCCTGAGTGGCAGCGCCGGCTTGAGCGAGATAACTTCCATGACGACTTTCGAAGGCAAGATATCGGACATGTTGGGCGTAAGACGCGAGCGGTGCGCTTTCGCGCCTGTTTATATGAGGCAACAGGGTGATCAGACACAATGCGCGCTGAGCGTTCCTCTTTCGGCAACCAGCGCTTTGAATGCGTCGATCGCCAGAGCGGTGGTAAGTTAGCCACGCGTAAGCCAGATCGCCTTCCTCCTCCCGTGAGTTCGTGTTTGCGTCGCCACACAGCGATAATTTGCCACGTTTTTGGTCTTGTCTGAGTCTTGTGAGGGCGTCGAGGAGAGCAGCGTGAGAACACATCACAATCACATCAGTGACATCACGCCACCACAAGCGAAAAATTAGCTTCCGAGGTCGGCACAGGGGTCACCTTTCCTCCCGACGACCATCTCACCCCCCGCAGCCTATCTTCCACCCATACAGCCTACGCTTTCCTGTAAATATCGAGGTTTGTGGCCTCCAGGACTGCGGAGCCTTGGCTGTGCTGACGTGTACCCATCTTAAGTCCGACGAAGTAACCCCTGTATCCGCCAGCAAAGCATGACGACCCATCCGGACACAATAGACGGTGTCGAAGCAAGAGATGAGCCTAACGGGGAGAATGTGAGCACCGTAGGTGCAACTGACGAGGTGCGCTTGCCATCGGGCCCTGCTTTATCAGCTCTGACAAAGAACACGACAGACGGGGAAGAAACGGCCCACCACCCGTTCGCAAACGGGGACAGGCGTGAAAGCGCCTGCAAGAGACGATAGTGATGTGTCGTCTGCCCCGAAGCAGGGCAAAACCAAGGCGAAAACGAGCAAGAAACGAACAGTGGAGCAACTCGATGATGAGCCTGGAAAACAGTCACGCGAAAGTGCACCCATTACCCCCGCGGCTCAGGAGATCGCAGCGACAATCGCATCCGACCCTATACCCCAGCCAACCCCACACCCTCCACCATCTCACTCGGTTTTCATCGATGCTCGGCCTCACAATGTCGGTCTGACTCCTGTCTTCGGCCTGGAGCCGCCCAATAACCGCAGCCGTGTTGTTCTGCCTACACCAGTCCCCAATCTTACCAAGAAGAGCCGTGGTCGACGAGTTCCCGCCGTCGGGGCCAATGGAAGCGCTGCTGCCAGTAGTATGCCCGCTGAAGAACTCGGTTTTCGAGAGATGGAAACGCGCTTGCATGTTTGCAAGGTCGATGGGTGTGGGAAGTGTTTTAGACGAGGTGAACATTTAAAAAGGCACATTCGCAGTATTCACACCCACGATAAACGTGCGTTGACTGCTTTTCGTCCTTTTACTTTCTAATTTTTTGGCATATAGCTTTTCCTTGTACCTTCACGGGCTGCGAAAAGTACTTCAATCGACACGACAACCTTTTGCAGCATCTAAAGGTTCACCAGCCGCGGGAACTTGCTGCAGATAAACCGGCGGATGAAGGTATCGAGCCTGAAGAAGAAGACGAGACCCCGCCAGCTGCCGTAACGAGTTTAAGTCGGCCTAACAAACGCCGTCGCATGGCCAAGCAGTCCTCGTTGTCGCTTTCGCATTCATCGCGTTCTTCTCCTGAATCCGAACCTGCGCCGGTGTCCGCGCCAGTATCGGCGCTGGCCAAGGCCATCTACTCGCAACAGCTGCGGTACCGTGGGGCCGTTGGCTATCAGAGCATGGGGGATTCAGATGATGACGCCGAAGAGGGCAGCGGGCAAAGGGCAAGCAAATATAACGAGTCGCTGGAGCGTGGGATGTCGGATTTGAGAACTAGTGTGTCAAGTGGGGATCGACAATAATAGACTGCAGCCTTGTTGCAGTCATCTACGTTGGGTTGTGTTGTCCCTGTCCATGGGCATATTGTAGTGTAATGCGCAGTGTAGCCTAGTGTTTTTTGGATTCACAGTTTGGTTTTTTTTGGACCTCCACAGCCCATCCTGCTACCAGATATGACAAGCGGGAGTAAGGGAAATGGGGAAGGAGTGGTTGGGAAGAAGGAAGAAGTATATTTGAGACATTAGCGACTGTAAAAAAGTGATTTCAACTAATCTGAATAATGGTACATTCACATAGTACTACATTTGGCGGCCCGCTACCAGTACATACATGTAAGTAAACATTGTCCTGACACGATATAGAAGAGGTACTATCAAACCCGCGTCCTAGTCCGTCTGATTTACTGCGACACGAACGAATACGACCCAGAGCCGACCTGAACCTTGTCGCCTGAAACGTTGGTGATGCCTTTTGCCTGCGCCACGGCTGTACCACCCTCCGTCATAGTTCTTGTCGTGCCCGACCCGAACGACACTGACGCGCTTACACCGACAGGGATCGCAATTTGCATCGAGAATGACTGGCCCTTGGTGTTGTACGAGACTGATAGTTTTCCGTAGGGCGTCATGACCCACCCACTCGCGCTGGGGATCGAAGCAGTGAATGCAGGAGCAATGCTGACCGTTTTGTAGGCCGTGCTGGTGGGTTGGATGCCGAGTACAGATTGGTAAAACCAGTCTTCGTAGGTGCCAAGGAAGAACTGAATCGAGGTAAAACTCTAATAACACAGGAATATAGGAAAGAGCCTACGTGATCGCGCGAACGCCCTTCGAGTTGCCAATGCTCCCAACAGGTCGTTGCCCCATTTTGGATCCAGAAGCCCCAGCTGGGCAGTGTCGTCTGCTGGATTAAACCCATCGCAACATCAGAATGACCATAGGCAGTCAGCATGGGCAGAATGTGCTTGGTCCCCAGGGCGCCAGTGTTAAGATGAACTCCGCGGGAGTTGACATCAGCAGCGATACTGTCTGCGACAGCTTGAGCATTGCTGGGACTTGTTGTCAAGTTGAAAGCGAGTGCAAGAAGATTGTGGGTTTGGCGATAACCGTTGTCGCCAACCCCAGTATAGTGACCAGAGGCCCAAAACGCGTTGTTGAACGCGGTTTTGACCTCGGCAGCTTGAGAGGCGAAGAGGTTCGCATCGTCAGTCTTGCCCAGCGTCCTAGCGATACTAGTCATAGCATCGAGCATACGATATCTACATAAAAGCGCGTCAGAATCAATGCGATGAGACAAATCAGACTTACAAGTAAGCCGTTGCAGGTATCCTGAGATCTTCGATGGGATTACCACCATCTGGAGGCAAATCCGCCGCCACCCAGTCACCCAAGACAGTGGTCGCTAGATTACCCGGAGAGCGACTCAGCTCAAATTCGATATAGGACTTCATGCCTTCGTAGTTATCTGAGAGAATTCTCGCATCACCACGGTACGAGTAGATCCAGGCAGGGATCAAGATGAACGCAGAGCTAAGCAGAAAGGTAAGTAAGCGATCAATGCATGCTGTAGGCACTGATCAACTTACTGCCATGTATCTGCTTGATTATCTGCGCCCCAGCCACCCGATGGCGCAATGACTCCCGGAGGACCAGGGCGACCAACTGGGAGCGTGTCAAGAAGGTCCTGTGTGTACTTCGCAAGGAATTCTTGGGAGTTTAAGTTGAAAAGGTACATTTCCTGTTTGGTGGTAAGCGGTCAAGCATCCCTGAAGAACGACATAAACTCACAGCACCGAGCTGAGCATCGCCAGCCCAACCATTTTTCTCCCAGACAGGGGTATCGGTAGGAAGACCGTGTGCGTTGTTGAGTAAAGTGCGGACAGCAGCGGCGTGAAGCTTGTTGAGCAAATCTAAAGAACAAGTGAAGTCACCCGCTACTGCAAGGTCATCGTTGACCAGCTGGGCGGTGAGGTCGGAAGGTTTGGGAGGCGAAGATGATGGCCAGCCGGAGATTTGGATATACTGGAATCCTGAAATGACATTAGACGACGAATGACCGGGTGTTTGGAGCACAAACCCTTGTATGAGAATTTGGGCTCGAACACCTCTGCAGAGCGTCTTCCCGCCAACCAATACCGGTCCGTTTGGAAGTTGTTCGAAAAGTAGTGTAGGTTATCTGTCAAATTAAATCAGAATTTTGCTTGAGAGTCGGGAACAACAAGCCTTCGTAAACAACGGTGCCATCTGGTTTGAGTTGCTCTCCGTAATGGATGGTCACCAAGCTGCCTTTCGGACCCGTGACGGTAAGCTTGATCCATCCAACGACCATATAGTCGAAAGAAGCCACGTATTGCCTGACGGCAAGATTAGTACAAGGTCTCAACGAAGAACAACAACACTAACCCAGGGACAGGCTGAGTGATCTTTATTGGTAGAAGTTTTCCGACGACCTTGGTTGGGGGTTGTCTCGCATTGACCAGAACACCCTTGGGAGCAGTTCCAACCAAAACATCCCTCCATTTACTGTCGTCAAATGCGGGTGTATTCCAGCCAGAAATTTCGTAGCTCGCTAGAGAACACGGTTAAAACGCATTGGATGGCCAACGCCAACACGCACCATCGTAGTTTTCGCCCCCATAAAGATCATCCAATCGAGTCGGCCCCTCGATATTCTTCCAGCTCCCGTCACTCACGACACGCTCTCTCGTCCCATCAGTGTAGATGACACTAAGCACCATGCGGAAAACCGGCTCGCCCCACCATGGCGCGTGCTCCCAAGCCCAAGCAGTCCTCTGCGTAATGCCATACCGCGACCGACCGAGTTCGACCCCAAAAGCATTGGCATCTAAACAAACATTTATGACCAAGATTTGACTCGATTGAGAAAAGACACGCACTGCTTCCTGCGTTGAGAAGGTTCTTCACATCGACTGCGACATATTGCAGTCGTGTGTCGTACTTGGTGAAAGCAGGTGTCAAAACATGGTCGGATATAGGCTTTCCGTTGAGTTGAATAGCAGCGAATCCACCTGCGGCGTAGAACACACGGGCTTGAGATATCCTCTTGCCTACAACTAGTCAAAAACAATGCAGAGTAGAATGGAAGTGATTCACCACCACGAGTACCGCTGAGAACAAACCGTTTCCGCAACAACGGTGCTGGATGTTCGCCCAATGGATCGGGAACGCTCACGTCACTATTCCAAGGCGAAATCCCGTATTTTCCCAAAGCGCTTGCTGCCGCCCAGGAGCCATCGTTGAAAGTTGGAGCTTGCCAATCCGACGGAAGGCTTCCTACACAAAACTCAACGACAAGTTCACAAAACCAGACTGCCACGTACCTCCGAACGCTTTCCAGGCGCCATCAGTAACGATAGTCTCGTTGGTACCATCCGAATATACAATGAAGCCAGTCAACAAGAATCCTGCCGGATTGCTGCTGGTTCCACCATTTGTCGCCGTCGCAGCGAGGACGAGTACATTCGTCCCATTGACAGTGACAGGGGCCGTGGTCGTACCCGCACCAAGTGGCACAGAAATGGTTGAAGCAGACTTCCAAACGTCTGCTGCGTTCCCCGAGGTTCCAACTTGAACACCATTTGCCCAAAGCGTGAACTGGTCGTCGCCTGTTGTGACGATCTGCGCAGAGACCGGAGTTTTCGAGGAAATTGGGAATGCTCGTCGGAAAGCAGCCGTGCCAGGATTAGTCCCACTGGCCGCGCCAGGGTCATTCCAAATCCAAGAAGCGGCCGAAAGAGGGGGAAGTGGTCGTTGTGGAAGAGCAGGCGCGTTTTTCCCGATCCAAGTACTGGAGCCCCAGTCATTTTGCGAAAGGAAACCGGTTATGAACGTCGATTGAGCAGATGCAGAGCCCGCAGACGAGACAACTGCAACACTCCAAAAGTATTGAGTGTCGGAGGAAAGGGCGGGGCCAGCGTATGGCGCGAGGTATGGGGTGGAAGAAGTGACAACCCCGGAGTCCCAAACGTCGGATTTCCCGGCGCTGGTGGCAGAGACAGTGAGGCGGTAGGAGGTTTGTGTTACGCTGCGAGCATTTGAAACCAACTTCCACGAAAAACGAGGAGAAACGTCGATGCCAATCGGGGCTCCTTGATTCTCGACCTGCAACGAGTTGATAGTGACTAGAGCACAGTGAGTTGATAGGGAGAAAGGTAGAAAGACGACATACTTTGTGCTTCAGTCCTTTGCACCCCTGCAAAGACACCAAGTAGCACGGTAAGCCCGACGAGCCGCATTTTAATGCGGATGGAATCGTGGTTGCGCGCATTGTCGACGTTCACCGCTCAAATACTGCTGGATTACATTGAGAAGAGGCTACACCAATGTGCAAAAGGAATCATACCACCTCTTCATGTGACGCGTGGATTGAGATTCAGATGGCGTTTCTCGATGAATCTCATCTTCTCGCATTTCGTTTAGCGTCCAGCGAGCTTCCTTGTGGCTTGCAAGTGACGATTCGTCTGCCAACATGGACGGAAACGCCAAGTGATCGGCCTTATCGGTCTGTCGCGTGACCTGTGCCGCAGTTCGCCGCCGGCACGGCATCTGGTCGGGGATCCACCCACGCGGTTCGGCCATTTTGATTTCGTCTTCTTTCACCACCTCGTCCTTGAACAAATTCGGTATGTCACCGTCGCTCAGCATATAATCACTACGCTCAGGTACCGCGGCCCCTTGTTAGCAAGTCTACACCTGGAAACATCATCTTGTGATCCTAAACATGGACGAGTCGGAATCTGACCACGACGTTGACGGCAACGAGGGTAGGATCGAGGAAGCCAAAAGACAAAAGCGAACAAGGGCCTCCCCGTCCAACAAGCAGCCGTTGACTCAGAGATCTAGTGCAACTTCAGTTGTAGCTGGGCGCTCGCACCCGACCATTGCCGATGTTCTTGCGAACAAACCCGGAAAATCCAACAAAGTCCGGTCCAAAGGTAAAAACGGCAAACGGTGAGTCGACAGGGTTCGCCCCAGCAAGCAAATCCCCTCTAAGGTTCTCGAAAGCCTACCATGGCTCGATCGCCAGCACCGTGCCATCATCCGGATTGTCTACCAGAGCGATCCCGAGAAATACACCCACTCAAAACTTGCAAGCATCATGGGTGTTAACTCCAATCAAATTTTCAAGGCCATTCATAATAATTACACAATTCCCGACGAGGACGACGATTATGCATGCCTCGGCGCTGACGGTGAAGAATGGAAGAAAATTTTCCCCCCAGCAGTGCGTATTGAATATTGAGCCAGTGACAACACAATTTACATCACGTTCTGTGCAGACAAACTCTGAGGGAGATCGCTCAACTCACAGAGTACCTGTTAAATCGCGCCGCCGCAAGTCTCAGATTGGTCACGTTTCTTATACTAAACGGAATGAAATCGAGCCGGAAGCACCGGCAAGTGGAAGCGGCGTGAACAGTCTCACTGCTGCCAAAATTCCTGCCAGCAGCGTCGCTAGAAATCAACAAACCCGCGTTATCGAACGGTTCAACCCAATTCGTCATATTGTCCGTGAGCGACCCGTGCTCGCCGTACCGCCCCATGAACTTGCACGCTCTGGAGCATCCCAGATTGTCCCGGCTTCGCAATCAATTTCAACATACGATACTTCACATCTCAACAATGTTGATGACGAAGTCCGATCCTTCCTGGCTAACATTATGCACTTCGATTTAACCCACCATATCCCGCTCCTACAAGCACAAGGTTTCACTCAGATGAAGTATTTTCGAGGCATGGCGGGTTGGAATAATCCAGAATGTGTCAGCATTGCGGTGGAAAAGTTGTTTGGTGGGGAAGGCAAAATGACTGGTATGGAGTTGACATTCTTGAGTATCGCAATCACAAAATTGGTGCCATAGAGGGTTATAGATTGAAAAAAAATATTAGAACGCTCATTTTTGCTGCTGCTACACTTGCCCCATCTTGACCCACATACCACCCTACATTCACGTCAACGGAACAATCCTACCCCGAAAGAACTAAGCATACCTTTGCATAGAGGGTCAAGTTTGACTCAGGTATAAACAGCTCAATGCCTTTCCTCCCAGGCTGGCCTTTCCAACTTTCTGGTACACGCGCAGCCGGCGGTGCTGCCTCAGGATCCAGTTTGATGGACGAGAAATGTTGCAGGAGGCGAACGAGCACGAAGGACATTTCGTTGTAGGCAAATTGTTGACCGAGACAGATCCGTGGCCCAGCGTTAAAACTATACATGATGTTTATAAGCTTGGGCTGGTAACAGCGTCGACAACATACGGGAGGAACTGGAATGGATTCGAGACCAGGTATTTCTGAAGTCGTTCGTCGATAAAACGGTCGGGGTCAAACTCCTCCGCTGAAGCAAATGGTATTGGGTGATTTTTTTTCACTTGAAAGTCGTCGTACCGTCTTCTCCCCACAAGTCCTTCCTCCGATGCATGAGCATTACTGAGTAAGATATCCTGCGCAATCGATGAGTTGGCACACAAGCGCAATGGGCAATAACGCCACCAACGGTGTTCTGCCAGGAATGTAGATGGGCCTCTGGGCCGGATCCGGGGACGGCCAGACGGTGGCATTTACAGTTTCCCTGAAGCGGTATGATTGAAGGCGGTGACCACACAAATGCCCTACCGAACATTGAATGGTCTGAAGGGCAATCAGTGGGTGTATAATATGTCCTGAGATTGCCACGCACACAGGAGGGTATATGCGCATTGTTTCTATTTGGTATTTGGTAAGCATTTAAGAAGCCAAACGCGAGAAAAAGTACCATTGAGAACGGCTCGAAGGTACTTCATCTTCTTGATATCATCGTATGTCGGAGCATTCGTCGGACCAATGCAGTCCAATATCTCTCCTCGAAGGCGGCTGAGCACATTGGGATGTCGTGCAAGGCTTTCCAAGTTATATCAGTCGATGGCGCCACATTCAAAACCGACAACCAACAAGTATATGGTGGAGGTCAAACCGCTCATTGTAGTGTCTCTCCCAGCTGGACCGAGGTAAATTCCTGGCCTCGGAAGATTAAAAGCCCTCACCGAGCAGGATATTCAGGCTGATGTCCCATTAGATAAAGCCTAGTATCATGAAGCTAATAGACAAACATACATTTCGTCTTTGAGAATCTTGGCGTCTGAAGGAGAAGCAGACTTGTTTGAGCTTGCGTTGTGGCGAAAACGGCACCACATACCTGAAGTAGACTTGACCAGATCGTCCAACAATGTCATCTCATCATCCTCCATGTTCGGCTCATTCTCATTACGACCTCTATCAACAGCCCGTTGGATGATGGGGTCGAGATAACCTGCGACAATGGCCATTGGTTTCGCGGTCGCATCTTCAAAGATTTCGTACAAGGGCCATATCCAACCGGTTCGCTCGCGGAAGGCAAGGTGTGTCAAAGCCTGCCCAAATGCGGTGGTAAACCGTATCGCAGCCTGAGCACGCGGGGAGTCTTGCGTGTTGTTGGGGATGACGAACGAGGATGGGAGGTTATGTGGGTATGCTAAGGAGGCTTCGAGACTGTCGACAGATTCACCGAAAAGAAACTCAGTTGCCGAATCCATGGTGAAGCGACTAATGAGTTCCTGTCAGTGGCATAAGAAAGGAACAACTTGAAAGGTTTATTTGAAAACTAGCCGAACCTGAAAGTCTACGGCAAGTCCTTCACGCATCCGTTGTTTAATGAGCGAGATGGCTTGGGTAGCATGGCGGTCAAAAATTTCGAAGTGGCGAACCCGATCCCGGCTGAAGTAGGGCCTGAGGAGTTGAGCAAATTATAAAAGAAGAGCCAACAGTCCTACCTGGACATGGAGCGATGGAAAGACCACAGGTCGCCGTCCGAGTTGAAGACACCTGTCTGTCCTTGTCTAAGTTCTAGGTATGCACCTGAAAAGACCACTCACACCCAGTACAGACTCCATTCCATTCTTAAATCGTTCTCCCTTGATGTTGTTGTTGAAATCTGTTGCGAGGATCGCTTGTATATGCGCTGGCTCGGTGGTAAAGATGTGGTTTTCCCATAATGGCCAAATGTTGACTATCTGGCCGAGTTTTGCTTGTACAGCACGAAGTTCATCGCCTGAAGAGGTCATCCAATGAACATGAGTATTAAGACCATGGAATGGCATACCGAGATAACCATGCTCTGCCTCATGCAGTATCCGCTCGATAAAGTCAAAGTTCCCAAATTTCTTCCCCGAAAGATACGGCAATGGTCGTGCCCCAAGTCGACGCGCCTCTCGACGATGTTGAATGTTTGCTACCACGTTCCGAAGGATGAAAAGCCCAATTCGCGCAAAGAAGGTGCCAACGATGGCGGTTGCGAGCGGAATGCGCAGCAAGCCAGAGCGCGTGGAAGCGCGGTGGACAAATATCACCAGCGTAGCCGGGAACACGAGCTGCCGCGTGAGGAAACGCAGACCTGGCGTCAACACCATGGCGGTGGACTCGAAGTTTTTCCTGGTGCCGAGTTGGATCTGATGCGACCTTGGCAGACGTCACCCATCCCGCATCATCGGCAGATCTTAAGTTGCCGTCGACCAACACATTTCATCAGGAACCAAGTTGGCAAGAGATTCGTACTTCATACTGTTGCTCGCATTATTGACCACTGTAAGTCGCGCAGGAAACACAATATGTAGCTAGACTAAAAGATTTCTCAGCTGGAACAAGCGTGCCCTGAGCTCTGGTCTCATTTCCTTCATGTCGACCTGGTCCGATCGACGCCGAACTGAATGCAAGTTGAAGGACGTGACACAGATCACAACCGACGCCACGGCCAGCGCGGTTCAACACGTTGTATGCCTCCAAAATCAAATTATGGCGGGACAGTCAACTCGGAGCTATCGCGGCCGCCAAACGCCTTTTGCTCCCTCCGTTCATGACCGATGAAATTTCACCAGAAGTCGCGCTTTCATGGTCGCGTCTGCAGACAGTCAAGGTCCGTCGTCGTCGCTGCTCATTTCGACAAGGCTGTTGAACTTCCCACAGTATGTGAATGGTACGCCCACAGAGACTCATGAGCTGCGAGTCCACTAAAGACACGATGTAGTCGCAAGCTTGGCTATCTTGGTGCGTTCCGTCATGCTCCGGCAACGTCTGGCTTCAACCTCCGCAGCTTTTCGACTATTCTCTGACGTTGGACCTCGAGGTACATGCCTTACTCTCTATCAAAATTCCGGCGCGAACTTTGTGCAGATCTCTCTCCTATGGCCGTCGCGCATGTCCACCTCAAAAATCCTCTTCTTTTTGGCGCGTTATACGCCATTCTTCGACGTCCCACTGGGATTATACTGTGCGTCTCGTCCTATTAGGCTATGGCGGCGGTATACTTACTTCTGCCACTTTTTGCCAGATGTACTTGGCCCTGATATCTCCATACCCGTTCGTGCCCGTTTCACCGCTGTTTTTCACTCAACGTATCCAGACCTGCTTCAAACTTAATACCGCCGCAACAAGTATGAAATTTCTTCTTGGCGTTGCCCTCATCACTCATCGTCTGGTTCCGCAGTCATGAGTGTATTTGGAATCTGTGTCGGAGAAGGTTTGCCGGCTGCTACAGTCGACGGTTGGGGTGTTAACCGTTCTTCAGGAATCCTTGTCCTACGAACTTATGCGCTAAGCGAGCGCAGACAGCGCGTTCTTCTTGTCTTCGGGAGTGTTTACGCGGTGGGTTCAATTCCAGTGGCTGTCGCGTTATTGCTTATTCGCCTTGACCAGATCGCGATTGTGACCACAATAGTCCTCATCACGCTTTTCCTTCGCAGTATGGTTTGTGAGTACGGCCACTTCCATGGCGCTCTCGATTCAACTTGCCTCTTAGTCGGTCCACCAATACACCCCCTCATCCCGGGCTGCAATGAGACTGGTGGGAACTTCGTTGTAGTTGGAGTGTGCTTCATTCTTGTCCTCGTCAATGAGACGGGTGTGTACTTTGCTTTACTATGGTGTCACGCCCAGAGCTAAGGAACTCTCTAGCGCTGATGGTTTATACGCTGGTGCTTGGCTGGCGCAAATATCGACATTTCCGGAACCCATTCGTGGTTACGCTCTACCGCGACGGCATCGCCTACTTCATCTTCTTATTCAGTAAGTGTCGTTGAACGATATGCATAGACCTCTGTGCTCAAATTCGCCTAGTGGGCTCAGCAACCAACTTTGCTATTCTTCTTGCTGGCGAGGTCCGTGTTACTGCTCCTTGTACGATGTCCTATTGATATTCCTCGATGATAGGGCGAGCTTCAAGAACTCCTCAACACCTTCATCCGTGTCATGCATTCCGTTCTCTCCACGCGCGTCCTGCTCAATTTGCGGGATGTGGAAAGAAAACGACGGCGTCTCGAAGACTCGCTGGAGCTGCAAGCCACAATCAGCGGAACACGCATGCATTTTGCTGGACCAACTACTGTGGGGGAGAATGAGGCGGAGGCAGTCGTGGGAGTGAGGTGACGAATCGAATCTTAGGAAGTATACTGTATCGCTAGAACAATCACAATGTATAGTAGCGCATTTGCATCCGTCGGCTGGGCACATTCAACAGCCAACGATCTAAATATAGCGGGCCACTTCTCGCGATTCCTGTCAGGTTTGCGGCCAGTGGCGACGCCGCGGCGACCAGCCTGACGGTGGTTACGCCAAGCACATATAATTTCTCCATCCGCTGGCCATTGACTTTGGCTGCGAGGACAAGGCTGTAAGCACTGGTAAGAGGCGGTGGCTTGATCGCAAATAGCAAACAAAAACAAAATGCTTGAGTGATAACTTTGGTAGTACATGCAAGTGCCATGAGTGAAATCGAGACGAACTAAGTGTCAAATGCTGTGGCCAAACATCAAGTTTGCCAATCTAACCCATCTCCTCGTCGACATTCAATGCTTCTGCCTTCGCCCGCTCCAACTCTTCCCAACTAGGAAGCCCATAGATCTCAGGCAACTCGTCCCAAAGTTTCCTCCTTGCCTGGCGATGGTACTCTTCCGCCTGCTTCAAACAGTACGCGCAAATAAGGTTCTCGAACGGCGTCCAGTCTCGATAGCTCCCCAGGGGATCGGAAATATTCCAGTTATGAACGTTTGCGAGGTTTTGAACGCGGTAATCGTCGCACTCCTTGAGACTGGTGCAGCCCTCGACAAATGGGATGCGGAGGAACGGAAGAATAGGGGGACAGGCCAGGCGCTGTTTGGTGTAGCTGACTATGGTCGTTTCTTGGTCAACGGGACTGAGGAGGGGCCACTGGGGCGAGTTGAGGATGTCCCGCATGTCGGAGTAGCAAAGGAAGTAGAAGGCGGTGGGGAGCACCCAGGAGGCCCCAACTTCGGAGGCGACGCGAATAGTGAGTAAGGAGTCGTCGAGCCCGTCTGAGGAGAAGGTTTCCGTCCCTGAAATCTCGTACACAGCGAGGGAAGTAGGGTAGCCGGTGTCGAGATGCTGCAAGGCCCTGCGGCGGAGAAACTGCACATCGTACTTGTGGGAGAGGCGGAGGATGCCGGATATGGTGGGGAGAGTGGTTTTCGTTGGTGGTGGCTCGAAGAAACTGGATTGTAGCAACTTCAGATTCCCCGCGCCACAACAAAAGTGATCAGACACACCTTGAGTCGAATATAGCCCTTAAAAACACCTCTACATCGGCAGCACTGTCGTGCAGCTTGACCACAGGACATCCGTCGATACGCTCGTCGTCGTCGTCATCGGTCGCCACAGAGTCAAAGGCAAGCATGTCCTTGAACACAGTTGACCTCGCCGCCAACACGCCCTTTGACACTCGGAACACTCGATCTTCGGCGCGTATGATCAAATTGTCTTCGGGAAACCATAGATCTGCCACGCGGGTTGGCGTCGTTGCGGTCGGCGTCGAGGATGAAGAGGCAGCAGCAGCGATTTGCATTCGTCTTTGGTGGCTGCGGACAACGTGTGCGTGTGGGACGTGATGACCAATGTCGCTTGACATCGATGACTTCCCACCCCTGATGGACGACTTGGCCATTGCGTAGCTACTTGCGTGCAAAATAGAAATCATCAAGTACATACTCATTCGACTCGGAGTTGTTGGTAGGATGATCGCGGAAGTATGTCGTTACATCTAGGGCCCGCCCTGCCAAGGTGCCCCACAAGCGAGAGGACGGCTTTGAAGTGAGGAGGACCAGGCTAGCTCGTGCTGGTCAGGTTCAATTAGACGGCCTGAACTTGCATACGAAAGCGAGCTGAAGCTAGGACCAATCAACTTGAAGTGTGGCTGATGACTAAGCCGATTTCTTGCTTCCAACTTTTACTTGGGTTGAACTCGCGGCACTGTGCCACCGCCGCCATCCTCTTTCGCAAACTCGGAGAAATTGTGTATACCAGCTTGCCCCCATGACCGTGTGTCATTTCTTCTTCGCGCATCCACTTCTTCTGATCCCTTGCGAAGGGTCAATTCATCCACGACGGGCCGTTCACACCTCATGACCGCCAATTGCGACAGAGTGTTTTATGGATATAAGTTCTGGCTACATGAACTCGCCCTCAAACCCATCCAATGCGACTTTCATTGGCTGCTTTGGCAGCAATCAGTGTTTCGCTAGTTCAAGCCATCACAAAACGGCAGTCATTCGAAGACAATAGTGCTGAGTATGTTTTTCCTATCGGCTCCCGTGCGTCCTTTACTCTCCTTCCTTGCACAGAGCTGACTCAAAGCAGCGGGCTTCTACAATGGGAACTCCAGTGCGGCAGTGACCATCGATCAACACTCCATTCTCCTCGATGGAAAACGCATTATGGTATTCTCGGGGGAGCTTCACCCCTTCCGTCTCCCAGCACCTGAGCTGTGGTATGACGTTTTACAAAAGTGCGTCCATTCGGTTGTGTGCTTCGAGCCTGACAGAGAGCATTTATAGATTCAAAGCAGCTGGATTCAACGCGTTGTCTGCCTACTGTGTGTTACGCTTCTAGCTCAACATTCCTAATAGAAGTAACCTCTTTCTAGGGCACTGGGGTCTTTCTGCGCCAAACGCCAATCAAGTCCGCTTCACAGAACACAATGATTTGACCAAGTTCTACACCGTCGCGAAGGAAGTTGGCATACTAGTCATCGTTCGGCCTGGGTGTGTCCCTTTGTTACATCTGCTGCTCTCTCTGACACTGGCATGACCACAGACCGTATGTAAACGCGGAAACGGCTGCAGGTGGCATACCTGGTTGGGCAACAAACATCCCAGGATTAGCACGCACCAACCAAACATTGTATCGAGCCGCATGGGAACCATAGTGTGTATTTTCGCGAGTTTTCATCTTGACTCAAACAAGACATTTCAGCGTCCGGGCTTTCGCGGAGGCCACTGCTCCCTTTCAGTACCCCGATGGACCCGTTATCGCCGTCCAAAGCGAGAATGAATATCTGACCAGTGCGACCGCGCACATCGCTGGTCTCAACGAACACATGCAAGACATCATCAATGTCCTTCGAGCTGGCGGAATCACCAAAGTACCAACAATTCACAACGACCGCAATGCTGCGGGTCAATATGCGGGGCCTGGGCTAGGCAAGGTTGATCTCTATGGAAGCGACTCTTACCCGTTGGGCTTCGATTGCGACAAACCAGAGGTTTGGTCTGAGCTGACTACTCGTATGTTTCTTCATTATATCGCCGTTTAGCTAGCTTATATCTAGCTAGAATTGGACACCAGTCACCAGAGATGGAACCCCGCTGAACCACTCGCGCTTTTTGAATGGCAAGGTGGCGCGTTTTCGTACTGGAGCGGTCCCGGCTATGATCAGTGCTACCAGTTAGTCAACGAGCAATTCGCCAACGTGAGTCTGCCTGTGGCACATCGTTAACATTAACAATGTTCGCAGGTGTACTACAAGGTGATCATAGTATTATCGCTCATTACCCATCTCATAATTCGGTTCGCAGAACAACTACGCCTCTGGTGCCGCTTTGCAAAACCTGTACATGACATACGGCGGCACGAATTGGGGGAATATGGTGAGTGTCTGACCGTTCAAGCTATTTACGTTGCTCAACCCCCGATCCAGCATTGTACGAGTACGTGGATTTTCATTGGACGTCAGCAGTTCCAATCATGCACTGTACAGCAATATACTCTAGCTACGAGTGAGACTACAGACTTGTCGAATGATCTAAGCTGATAATAATCCAGCTATGGAGCTGCTCTTGCAGAAGACAGGACACCGACCCCTAAATTTGACGAGCTCAAACTGCAGGGCTATTTCCTACATGCCTCACCCGACTACCTTCTTGTCGGACGCGTTGGCAATGGCACGGTCGGCCTCGGCACCGCCTACAGCACTTCCACAGACATCTACACAACGAATTTAGAGTCGCCTAAGACCGCCGTCAACTTTTATATCGTCCGCCAAAGGACAAATACCAAAACTACCAACACAGACTTCAAGCTCAGTGTCAACACGACATTGGAGGGCCGAATTCTTATCCCGAAGAACGGCAATCTGACCTTGGCGGGAAGGGAAAGCAAGATCATTGTGACGAACTATCCGTTCGGAAAGTCGAAATTGGAGTACTCGACTGCCGAAGTTTGTCTATCCTGCTGTCAGGGCTATAATACTCAATTCGTACAGGTCCTAACATGGCAAACCTTTGATTCCGTAGGTGTTCTCTGTTCCCTCTCTTTTGTTCTTGATATCATGTGTATAGCTCGACACAATTGTTCTGTACTCCCTCAAAGGACAGTATGTCGAAATTGCTGTTGAAGTTCCTCCCAAAGTTAAGGTATCCCACACCGGCTCGACAACCATATCGGCCGTTACAACGGGAAAGGTAATCTCTGTGCCTTATAACAAGTGAGAAACCAATGCTTTCTAGACCGTTACAATTTCCGGATCACCCACCGGTCTTTCAGTGATCACTTTCGGCAATACTCGTGTCATCGTCGGCGATAAAGAGACAGTCTCCAGTGCTTGGGCTCCACGACTTATGAGCACAGCAACTGCCAACCATGCACACTACGATCTGACGCCAGAAACTCCCTCGGTGCTGATTTTTGGTCCATATCTTGTTCGTTCTGCAAATGCACACGGGACAACTCTCCAGCTCACTGGAGATTTGAATGCGACGACCACTCTCGATATATTTGCATCGAAAAAATTCAATGCAATTACCTGGAATGGCGCTCCAGTCCATGTTAGCCCCAGTGATATCGGCAGCTCACGAGGAACACTAAACTTCCCCGCGAATCTTCCCAAGGCCAAAATTCCGGTCCTCGCTGATCTAAACTGGAAATGCGCGGACTCTTTACCCGAGCTTCAACCTTCATTTGATGACAGCACCTGGACATTGGCCAACAAGACTTCGACGCAAAGGCCCCAGCAACCAACAGGTGGAAAAGTCAGTCCACTCTTTTCACGTTCAAGGCCGTCCCTCTGAACATGTTCACCTTAGTTTGTTCTATATGCCGGTGAATATGGATATCATGCTGGACAATGGGTTTGGCGCGGTCATTTCACCGGTGCTGCCACTGGCGTCAAATTATCGATTCAAGGGTGCGACTCCTTGATTCTTCGATACCGTCGCACTCAACAGCACTTACATAGCGGTTTCTCCTTTGGTTACTCCGCTTTTATCAATGGGCATTTTTTGGGTTCCGGACAAGGCAGTTCGATCTCACAGACTGGTGTGGATTTGCTGTCCCCAACATTTAACTTCACCGCTGACCAGTTGGTCGTTGGGGATAATGGTGAGAAGATGCGCGCTGTCAGTTGATGCTACGACTCACATTTCGCATAGTCCTCACGATCATCCATGACTCAACTGGGCTCAACGAGGACTGTGCGTATCGATATCTAATCCGAATGATGTCGGTTTGATTGTTTTGTTTCTTAAGATAACATCGACGATGAACATAAAACTCCTCGAGGGATTCGTGGTTACCAGCTCTTGTCTGAAGATAACAACGACTTTACCGAGTGGAGGCTCGCTGGAAGTGAGTGTTAGATATTTGTTAATTTGATTCACTGACGGTTCGAGGCAGATGTCGGCGGGGAGAATGCACCCGACTATGTCCGTGGGCCATATAACGAGGCACGTGTTTTTCTCTCAACTTCAATTTTTCGTATGTTAATATATCGACAGGGTGGATATTGGTTTGAACGGGTTGGCACTCATCTTCCTGGCTACGATGACTCCAAATGGACCCCATCGTGCTCGCCATTAACGGGCATCTCCAAAGCAGGTGTCACTGCATATAGGACCACATTCACCCTCGACTTGCCACCAGGCACGGATATCCCGCTCGCCTTTGACTTTGCCTTGGACTCCACAGCACCATATCGGACGCTGATATATGTCAATGGATGGCAATTTGGTCGGTAAGTCTGGGACACCTTGAAATCGGGTTGGACCTGACTGAGTTTACTACTTAGTTTCCTTTCATCACTCGGACCGCAAGTCAGCTATCCAATACCAGAGGGAATCATCAACCATCACGGCAAGAATGAGGTTCTTGTCACTCTCTGGGCATTAAGTTGGTTTATTCCCCTGTTCATTATGACTGGAGCTGACTGTCCTTGCAGATGCAAGCGGCGCCAAACTCTCGAAGCTCCAGCTGAATAAACGGGCAACTTTGACCTCCAGCAAACCGGCGTCAGTGAAGATAGTGGCGGCCCCTGGATGGAAGGAACTGCGAGGGGCCATTGGTATTAGAACAAACTGACGAATACAGTTCGAATATGCTACATTGTGCTACCTACAACTAACTGCAATGGTCATTGATCGACTGAGGTAGTGGTAATCCAGCTAATACTTGGTCTGTCGCTTGCCGCGGCATAGACGGCAAACTGACAAGTCACGGTCAATCGTATTTGCGAGTGAGTTACTCGGAGTTAAGTACATATGTTGCTCAGGCTTCGGATAATAATATCTTGGGTCAGAGTCGACGCTTCGCGCTGATCCTCGATGCAGAACACTATCTGGAGAATTTGACGTCACTGGAGCTTCGATGTAGCATCCGAGTTTTCGTCTACCGCAAAAATCTCCAACAAGGCGACTTAACTCTCCATTTGAATCGTTATTGGCATCTAGCATTCGTTTATCACCGTGGAGGAGCTTCGCTCCGCTTGAGGGCAACTGATACGGCATACGACAAGTGCAACGCGAGCAGGCCGAGAGGCCCTTGACTAGCGTTTCAATGTTGACCACCAAGCTGGTAGAATCGTCACTCGAAGCCAAATCGAAACAAAATCCTCGTGGCCAGAATGCGCATGACCTTCGTACGTGATGAGAGAAGTGGTCAGATCGTGCACAAGATGTTTCCATTTAGACTTGCTAACAAAGGGCCATAGGCCGAGTGAAGATGACATAGCGAGATTCTTCGAGGACGATGTGGTGGAAGATGAAACGGCCGAACCGTGTGTGGATCCCGGACCAAAACAAGCATGTGCCGTGCCGGCGGCGGCAAACTGCGGCACACGTCACGCGACAACCTATTTCCTCTCAACTTGACGACAACTCGTCACTCCTCGAACCCAAACAGAATGCGAGTCGGTCGCCGAGAAGACGAAAAACGCGATTATAATCTCAATCCACGCGTCACATGGAGGGGTGGTGTGATTCCTTTTGCACATTGGTATTGCCTCTTCTCAGTCTGGTTGAGGAGTATTTGAGCGGTGAACGTCGACAATGCGCGCAACCACGATTCCATCCGCATTAAAATGCGGCTCGTCGGGCTTACCGTGCTACTTGGTGTCTTTGCAGGGGTGCAAAGGACTGAAGCACAAAGTATGTCGTCTTTCTACCTTTCTCCCTATCAACTCACTGTGCTCTAGTCACTATCAACTCGTTGCAGGTCGAGAATCAAGGAGCCCCGATTGGCATCGACGTTTCTCCTCGTTTTTCGTGGAAGTTGGTTTCAAATGCTCGCAGCGTAACACAAACCTCCTACCGCCTCACTGTCTCTGCCACCAGCGCCGGGAAATCCGACGTTTGGGACTCCGGGGTTGTCACTTCTTCTACCCCATACCTCGCGCCATACGCTGGCCCCGCCCTTTCCTCCGACACTCAATACTTTTGGAGTGTTGCAGTTGTCTCGTCTGCGGGCTCTGCATCTGCTCAATCGACGTTCATAACCGGTTTCCTTTCGCAAAATGACTGGGGCTCCAGTACTTGGATCGGGAAAAACGCGCCTGCTCTTCCACAACGACCACTTCCCCCTCTTTCGGCCGCTTCTTGGATTTGGAATGACCCTGGCGCGGCCAGTGGGACTAATCCTGGCACGGCTGCTTTCCGACGAGCATTCCCAATTTCCTCGAAAACTCCGGTCTCTGCGCAGATCGTCACAACAGGCGACGACCAGTTCACGCTTTGGGCAAATGGTGTTCAAGTTGGAACCTCGGGGAACGCAGCAGACGTTTGGAAGTCTGCTTCAACCATTTCTGTGCCACTTGGTGCGGGTACGACCACGGCCCCTGTCACTGTCAATGGGACGAATGTACTCGTCCTCGCTGCGACGGCGACAAATGGTGGAACCAGCAGCAATCCGGCAGGATTCTTGTTGACTGGCTTCATTGTATATTCGGATGGTACCAACGAGACTATCGTTACTGATGGCGCCTGGAAAGCGTTCGGAGGTACGTGGCAGTCTGGTTTTGTGAACTTGTCGTTGAGTTTTGTGTAGGAAGCCTTCCGTCGGATTGGCAAGCTCCAACTTTCAACGATGGCTCCTGGGCGGCAGCAAGCGCTTTGGGAAAATACGGGATTTCGCCTTGGAATAGTGACGTGAGCGTTCCCGATCCATTGGGCGAACATCCAGCACCGTTGTTGCGGAAACGGTTTGTTCTCAGCGGTACTCGTGGTGGTGAATCACTTCCATTCTACTCTGCATTGTTTTTGACTAGTTGTAGGCAAGAGGATATCTCAAGCCCGTGTGTTCTACGCCGCAGGTGGATTCGCTGCTATTCAACTCAACGGAAAGCCTATATCCGACCATGTTTTGACACCTGCTTTCACCAAGTACGACACACGACTGCAATATGTCGCAGTCGATGTGAAGAACCTTCTCAACGCAGGAAGCAGTGCGTGTCTTTTCTCAATCGAGTCAAATCTTGGTCATAAATGTTTGTTTAGATGCCAATGCTTTTGGGGTCGAACTCGGTCGGTCGCGGTATGGCATTACGCAGAGGACTGCTTGGGCTTGGGAGCACGCGCCATGGTGGGGCGAGCCGGTTTTCCGCATGGTGCTTAGTGTCATCTACACTGATGGGACGAGAGAGCGTGTCGTGAGTGACGGGAGCTGGAAGAATATCGAGGGGCCGACTCGATTGGATGATCTTTATGGGGGCGAAAACTACGATGGTGCGTGTTGGCGTTGGCCATCCAATGCGTTTTAACCGTGTTCTCTAGCGAGCTACGAAATTTCTGGCTGGAATACACCCGCATTTGACGACAGTAAATGGAGGGATGTTTTGGTTGGAACTGCTCCCAAGGGTGTTCTGGTCAATGCGAGACAACCCCCAACCAAGGTCGTCGGAAAACTTCTACCAATAAAGATCACTCAGCCTGTCCCTGGGTTAGTGTTGTTGTTCTTCGTTGAGACCTTGTACTAATCTTGCCGTCAGGCAATACGTGGCTTCTTTCGACTATATGGTCGTTGGATGGATCAAGCTTACCGTCACGGGTCCGAAAGGCAGCTTGGTGACCATCCATTACGGAGAGCAACTCAAACCAGATGGCACCGTTGTTTACGAAGGCTTGTTGTTCCCGACTCTCAAGCAAAATTCTGATTTAATTTGACAGATAACCTACACTACTTTTCGAACAACTTCCAAACGGACCGGTATTGGTTGGCGGGAAGACGCTCTGCAGAGGTGTTCGAGCCCAAATTCTCATACAAGGGTTTGTGCTCCAAACACCCGGTCATTCGTCGTCTAATGTCATTTCAGGATTCCAGTATATCCAAATCTCCGGCTGGCCATCATCTTCGCCTCCCAAACCTTCCGATATCACTGCCCAACTAGTCAACGATGACCTTGCGGTCGCGGGAGAATTTACTTCCTCCGTGGATTTGGTCAACAAGCTTCATGCTGCCACTGTCCGCACCTTATTAAACAACGCACATGGTATCCCCACGGATACCCCCGTCTGGGAGAAGAATGGCTGGGCTGGAGATGCTCAGCTCGGTGCTGTAAGTTCAGCATCTTTTGGATCTGAAGGTCACTGAATCAAGCTTTAGGAAATGTTCCTATTCAACTTTGACTCACAAGAGTTCCTTGCGAAGTACACTCAAGATCTTCTTGACACGCTTCCTGTCGGTCGTCCTGGTCCTCCCGGAGTCATCGCACCCTCCGGTGGTTGGGGTGCAGACAATCAAGCGGACCCGTGGCAGTAAGTTCTTTCTTTGGAACGACCCAACTTGTTATTTACTTTTCTTCTTCTTCAGTGCCGCCTTTATCTTCATACCTGCCTGGATATATTCGTACCGTGGTGATACGAGAATCCTTTCCGACAACTACGAGGGCATGAAGTCCTATATTGAATTCGAGCTTGGCCGCTCGCCCAATAACATTGCCAACACCGGTCTCGGTGACTGGGTTGCGCCAGAAAGCTCGCCGTTCGGCGGCAATCCGACTGAAGATTCACGGGTGTCAGCGACTGCATACTTGTCAGTAACTTATTATGGTCCCTCCTCTCCCCTGACTGGCTTTCATGTAGATATCGTATGCTCGATATCATGGCTGGGATCGCACGGACTCTGGGGAAAACTGATGATGCAAACCTATTCGCCTCGCAGGCTGCCGGCGTCAAGACCGCATTCAACGACGCTTTTTGGGCGAATGACCATTACGCTGGCGTTGGCGACAACGGTTATCGTCAAACACACAATCTTCTAGCGCTTGCCTTCAACTTGACAACGAGTCAAAGTAACGCCCAGGCGGTCGCAGACAGCGTCGCTGCCGATGTCAACTCGCGCGGAGGCCATCTCAACACTGGCGCTCTTGGTACCAAGCACATCTTACCCATGTTGACGGCCCATGGTCATTCTGATGTTGCGGCGGGCCTGATCAAGCAGACGACCTACCCGAGCTGGGGATTCTGGATCCAGAATGGCGCCACGACTTGCTGGGAGCACTGGGCTGTCGAGGCTCGCTCCCATGATCACGTGCGTTTCTTCCCATTTACCCGACCTCTCAACTCTGACACTAGTTTAGTTCTTCCTCGGCACCTATGATGACTGGTTCTACCAGTCTGTCCTGGGAATTCAACCCACCAGCACGGCGTACAAGACGGTCAGCGTTGCTCCTGCGTTCACCGCCGCCATTCCCAGCGCGAGTGGATGGGTTATGACGCCTTACGGAAAACTCTCGGTGTCGTACAACACCAAGGGCCAGTCCTTGTCGATGCAAATTGTCGTCCCTGTCGGGGTAAGCGCGACGGTGTCGTTTAGCAAAGCCACGACATTGACGGAGAGTGGTACCGCCGTGGCTCAGGCAAAAGGCGTAACCACGGTGTCAGGGGACAAGGTGCAGGTCGGCTCTGGGTCGTATTCGTTTGTAGCACAGTAGGCTGGACGAACTGGATTGGACTTGACTGTAGCAACTAGAGAAACGCCCCAAAATGAAATCTGTAGTATGCAAATACTATTATTATTGACCTCAACAGCAAACGCGGTTCAACTCGGGAGGAATCACTGTGCGATGCTACATTGATACATAGCTACCC